TGAACCCTTGGAGCAATAGATATTTCAATACTTTTTCGCGACTTTCAGCTTACACAAGAAACACGCACACACACACACGCACGTACGCAAACACAGGCATACATACACACACACGCATACAGACACACATACACACACACACGCATACATACACAAACGCATACACACACACACATACACACACACATACACAAACACATACACACACAAGCAACCATGCATAAACACGCATGGGCTGCAGTGTGCGCTTACTATGAGAACTTAATTGTTTAATAACTTTTTTTATGGACGTACGATCTTCATGAAACTTTTAGATTATGATTATAACATGAATATGCATGTAATTGCCAAAGCACAAGTCTCTAGTATTTGAAATACGCTTTTTACAAAAGTGAGGGTGAGGGGGTGAATTTAGAGGTGGGGGGTAAATTTTAACAAAAACCGAAATTGTATAAATTGCATATAAGCATACATTAAAAATTTGGAGACTCTAGCAATAAAGGTGTAGAAGATATAATTTTATAACTGGGTTTCGATAAGGGTTTTTATCGATAAAAAAATATCGAGATGAGTTATCGATTTTTAATGATAAACTTGATATGCGCGCTGTAATTACGGACATTTTAAAAAAATTTGAAGTCTCTAGCTCTTATATCTTCTGAAATCGACGCGTTCATACATACGGACAGACGGACAGACGGACAGACAGACGGACAGGGCCAAATCAACTCAGCTCGTCACCCTGATCAAGAATATATATACTTTGTGGGGTCTGCCACGCCTCCTTCTCCCTGTTACATACATTTCAACAAAACCATTATACCCTGATTTCCCATTGAAAATGGGTTCAGGGTATAAAAACAAATACTAAAATTAACAAATGCAAAGAAATCAATTCGTAAACAGATTTGGAAGAAGTGTAGCGAAAGAGAAAGAAATAAGAGAGAGAGAGAGAGAGATAAGTAGAGGAATATAAGGAACATACATATGTAATATTATTTATGTTTAAAAATTTGTATTTTTTTTTTTTTTTAATTATTATTATTAATAAATGTATTTTAGAAGTGGATAAAACGATTAACAATTAAATTGATACGCGTCAATAAAAAATAATAAATTATAAAGTAAAATACAAGAAACAAAAATATTAATCATATACATATGTCTATATACATTTTAAATACTATAGGCTATATATATAGTGTAGGGCACTGAAGAATATTATAAACAATTTGCATAAGCTGAAAATAAAAGAAAAAATCCTAATCGTAATACAACACTATCTATATAGATCCATTCTAGCTATTATCTATCTCTGTCTTTGCCTCTTCAGTTGTTGCTCCATACAAATCAACATATGTCATATATATCTTTATATATATAGAGAGAGAGAGAGACAAATCGATCCATTGAATATTGGAATTTTTAATTTTTGTTTATTGAACTCAATAAAGTTGTAGCTGTATATATATAGACATCTAGAATTCCCAATAACTTAGGCAGGTTCAACAATAATCCATCAAAAACTATAGACTTTTTTATATATATATATATATATATATATATATATACAATATACACATATTCATATATTCAGCGTTACGGACCAAGCCAAGATTTGTCCTAACTGAGTCTAATCGTAATCTATAGAGTTTCAAATAACCGCGGAATGTTTTACGATTGAGTGCGCATATACATATATTTATATCAAGTTTTGTTTCTGTAACATCAGGAGCTTTAGCCTGGAATATAGATTTGCATATTGTTTTTGTTTTTGTTTTTTTCTGTTCATTTGTTTCTTATATACATTTGATACATACATATATCTATGTATATACATATTTGGTAGACATTTATAAAGGATCTCGAAAGCTTTTGCACCTACAAAGTATACATAGATATATAAAATATACATGAATATACTATAATATTGGATATATGTAGATCGTACCATATGTATGCAAAAATCATAATTTACTTAGGGGTATACTAAATAGAGATATAAATATATAGTATTTGTGTGTGAGGAATCGTTAAACGTTTCTAATCTTTATGCTTGGGCAGCGGCTGTTCCGATCTGAACGCTAGACGCTGCTCTGTTGCTTGGCCCGGCTTCATTGGATTGGAGGTGTTGCGTCCGCGCGTCAGGCCGCAGCCCACGGATAGAAGATGCGCCTCCAAGCGACTCAGTCGCTTCTTTCACGAGCTCATCAGGCTGTCGAGGAATGAATGCTTATTGATCACCTTCGTGGTGGCGATCACGAACTCCACGTTGTTGTCCTCCTGGGCGGCCAGGAAGCGCAGTGCTGCGATTTCGGCGAATGTGCAGCCGCCCACAAAGAAGACGAGCACCACGCGCTTGGCGTGCATTAGCGAGGTCTCGCTGGGCGTGGCGCCGACTGCATGACGGCCACCGATGCCAATCAATTGCACCTGAAAGTCCTCGAAGGTCGGCCCGGGCAGGTTGTTGATCTGACTCTTGAGCGTCTGCCAGCCAAGCGGCTTGAGCGAGTGCTCGACCAGGCGAGCCGTCAACGGTGCATAGAAACTATGCACATAGCTAATGTCCTTCGGATTGATCTCAACGCTGTCATCGACGGTCAGATGTAGGGTCTGTGAGGAGAAGTTAAGTAAAGTTAATCGACTGGTTGTAGCTTTTATTACTCTTTATTCCAGCTCCTGGCTCCATCGAGCCATCCCTATTTCTTTCTGCTTATTTCGACTTTTTAATCCTTACCTCTACTCTTAAGTTCTACTTCTACATCTTACTACTGCTCGTTAGTCCTTACTCCCACTCCTTACTCCCACTCCTTACTCCATCTCATACTCCTTACATCAACTGCTCATCCTTAGTTCTTACTCCCATTCCTTACTTCATACACTTCCTCTTACTTTTACTTTCTTACTCTAAATACTTCTTAGTTTTAGTGTCTTACCCATATCTTAATTTCTTATTATAATACACATTGCTTCTACTTCTATTTGCATATTTTCCTAATCTCTAATCCTTAATCTTTCCGCCTCAGTACTACTTAAAACTTCTTCTGTAAACTACTTCTTTATCTTAGCTGCTTCCTAATCCCACGCCTATTCCATTCTTACCTTGCGCAATACGGCATACGCCCGCGACTCAGTTTGTGTTCGCAGCAGTCCAGCTTTCTCGAGGTGGCTAATGGTGAGCAACACCTCCAGGCCGTAGACCTGGGCCAGCTCGCGCTTGTAGGTGTTGAGGACGCGCTCCTTGAAGCCGGAGGCGGCGGCACACTGCAGGCAGATGAGTCGCAGCACGTTGCGCAGCTCGGCACGGCGTGCTATCTGGTCCTCAATGTAAGCGCTCGACCTGTCGATGTCCGCACAGATCATGAACTCCTGCTCGGCGGCGAGATCATCGCTGAACGAATAGACATTGATGCGTTCGTCAATGAGTCCGGCGATGGCCGTATGCACCGATGTTTCCTTCTTTTCCTCCATGAGTTGAGGCAGACGATCGACGAAACTTTTGATCTCCTGCACCGTTTGCTCCTGCCGATTAACATTCATCTGTGCCTGGATGTCCTTAACCTTGCGGGCGAGCAGAATGCGCACTTCATTGAAGTTCTTGTTGCGCAGCTCCGCGTATAGCGGTTTGCCGGAATGAAGAAAAATCGTCTTTCGATCTTTATCGCCCACCAAGCGTTCCGGATCCTCAGATCCGGCCGTGGAGCCGCCGCTAATAATATATGCCGGAAAATGCTCGGCCGGCAGCGTCAGCTTATTGTGGTGTATGCCATAAAACTCATCGATGAGACCCTCGTAGGTTAGTTGGGTGGCCAGCGGACTGAGTAGGTCGATGCCCCGATCGAGCAGGATGAGCTGATCAATTGCACCCTTGTCGCCATTGTACAGTGACTTCTCGTCAATGGCCAGCTGCTTGGCATGATCCCAGACGAATTGAGCCATGACACCCTTGCCGTAGATCTTGGGTATGCGTCCGTATAGCCGCTGCAGCTGCACCAGGCCAATTGACGCTTGGAAGAGAGCGGTGGTGTCGCCATCGATGCTAACATCGCGATAGGCATTGGGCATCTCCATGCTGACTACATCCGAGTCCAGCGGAAAAAAGTTCCAGGTCAGCTCGTAGATATGAGTGAATGCATTGATCACATCCAGATTCTCCAGATGCTTAATGCACAAGCACGAGCGACGCGGCACAAAGAAGATATAATACTGTCGGCCCTGCTGATTGTTGTCCTTTAGGTGCGTGGCCAGCTGATCCATGAGCTTAACCTGCGTGTGCACAATATAGATGATGTTCTGGACGTCCTTGGGAGTGCGTGCTTCAGGTTTCAAAGCGGCCAGCTTAATTCCACGATCGGTGAACATTTCCGGCTTGGTAACAAGCTCCAAATGTCCAACCATTGACTCGTCCAGCACAATAATCTTGCTGCCTTCGATGGAATCAAGGTGCTGCAATAGCTCCCGCGCAGCCGTCTCCTGCAGCAACTGCAAATTGACGCGTTGACTCCTTAGATAAGGAAACATGGCTGATGGCAAAACAGGAACTGCACTATTGATGACAATATTTTTTCTTAGCTTTTTCTCGCTAGCGAGGCGCTATTTTGGTATTGTGTCTCTGCAGTCTCTGCACTCAGCAAGTGTTTTTACTGCCTAATATTTCTGTGGTTGCAACGCCCACATACTGCACGGCAGCCGAGCAAATTAGCAAATCAGCTGTTTTGGGCCTGCGCAGAAAACAGTGTGTACACACCAATAAGAATAGGCAATATGCGCTCAATTTGATTTATAATTATAAATTAATTCTGTAATATGTGTACAATAAAACTGCTTAAACGTATTTCAACGCATAAAGCATCTATTAAAATCTTATACCCACTCTTATTTTGGTATATGACAGCACCTAGCGCGAGCAAATATTGTCTAATTTTAAATGAACTATTCAAATTCGATAACAACATGACTATCGATTTCTTGCTTGCTACTTTTGCCATTCTCAGTCTGTCAAATTGTTGCTCATCTCTAGGAAATATACAACTACAATTGAACTAGCAATATTTAAGAGTGTAATAGAATTTCATTTCGTTTCATCCTACTCTGACTTTTTGTCAGAGCAAACAGCGCGAAACGTATAATATTGTAAACGGCTAAAATACACATATTTATTACTCTACAAATGGTATCGAAGGGTAATAATTACCAACAGAACCGGGCCATGCAGCAGCAACAGCGCTCAAATGTTCGTGCCGCAATCGCACCGTACCGCAAGCCTTACCGCGGCCAGGCTCAGGCTCAAGCTCAGGCTCAGAATCAGGCTCAGGTTCAGGCCCAGGCACCGAATCAATTTATGTACACATCCTGCCAGATGCCCAGTGATCCGCTCTATATAGACTTCAATAGTCCCACGCCCGCACCACCGCCCAAATTGGCGACGGCCGCACAGACACTGCAAGCCGGCAATTCGACTGAAGGAGCTGCGGACGGGGGGAAAAAGAAGCAATTGAAAGCTAAACAGTCCAAGGGCCATAAACAATCGCAACAGCAGCATCCGCATCCGCATAATTCGCACTTTGCTGGGCAGGGCGGCGGCGGCCCCGCAGCTATGGCCGACAATGGCTGGCAACCGCATCCACATCCGCATCCAAAGCAACGGTTCCATGCACCCAATGGCAATCGGTTCAATGGACCACAGCGCAATGGCTTCAATAGGCCCCAAATGATGGGTGGCGGACCCATAAATCGAGGAGGCGGTCGCCACATGATGGGCGGACCAGGACCAGGTGGTCCGATGGGCCCACGGGGTGGCCCAATGCCGCCATATCCCCCTATGCCTTTTCCAGCCGCCATGCCGCCGATGCGCTGCCCCATGCCGCCAATGGGCGGTCCACCGCCACCACCGCCTCCCTTCATGCGTCGCAACGGACGCGGCCCACCACTGCCAATGCCACTGCCACCGCCACCGCCGCCGTTGATGGGTCCGCATATGCATATGGGGCCACGAATGCCGCTGCGTGGCATGCCACCGCTGCCCGGCCCGGTGCCCTACATGAACGGCGGCAGCATGAACGGCGGCAAGATCAAGAAGCCGAATCCCAAGCTGATCAAGCAGGCGCTCAAGGGCAAGAGCACAATCAAAACGCTAAAGAATCTAGTGAATCAATATCCCATCGACAAGCCGTGGGTGAACGACGAAATACGCGCCATCCACGACGAGAAGCTGGACATTGAGAATCGCCTCAAAGGCAACAAAGATGACCAGCTCTTCGCCCAGTTCAAGGTGCAGCGCGACAAATTTGTGTCCCTCTACGAGAAGGCGCGCGAAGCGTATTTAAAACAGGAGGCCGCTTCGGTAATGGCCAAGGTATGTGCCCCTCTCGCTCACTCACTCTGTCTCTCGCTCTCACTCTATGTATACATTTGCAATTTCATATTATTTCCACTCCAATATCCTCCCCATCCAAACGGAATTGAATTTCCTATATATCGAATACAGACCTGTGTATATATTAGATTTCACACTCAACCAGTAACAAGCAGAATAAATACGCTTTCTCACTCACTCCAGTTCATCTCCTCTCACTCACTCGCTCTCTCGCTCTCTCTCTCTCTATCTGACTCGCTGGAGTTCAGATCGATGTCGTTTATTATTATATTATATTATATGTTCTTTTGCAGGATGCCAAAGAGAAAGACAAAGATATAGATAAAGACAGAAATGCAAATTCAAATGAGATCGAATTAGCGCAAGATGCAAATAAAAATAAAACAACAACAGCAACTACAACAGCAACTACAACAACAAGTCCAAGCAAAAGCCAAAACCAAAATCAAAATCAACAGCAAAATCAAAACGAATCGAATGAGCCAGAGTCAGGCAATTAATTATATATCTATATATGTCTATACATTTACACACGGTCTAATATATAATTAAGCAACAATTTTTCAATTAATTAATTTATTATCATAAATTATTAATTGTGCTCATTTGCCTGACTCAAATGAAACATAAAACGAAAACAAATCAAACAAAAAGCTAAGCCGTGAAAATACAAACAACAATCAATTGCAACAACAACAACAATGCAAAAAAAAAAAAAAAAAAAAAAAAAAGCAAATAATAATAATAATATTTATACAACAATTATTAATAATATTTATAATTAAATTGCAACAAATTAAATTCAAAGAACTGAGCTTAAATTCAAGAAATAAGTAAATAAACAAAAACAAAGCCAACAATTTACAAAAAATAATAAGGAAAAGATAAACATTATCCATTCAATTGTTAAAGAGGAATCAACAAAACAGAAATGAGATGAAACGAAACGAAAGAGAATTGCGTAAAAATGTATTTTTATGGCTTTAAAACAATTGTTAATTGTAATATAACGTAACGTAACGTAACGTAATGTATGTAATCGGCATGCCACGTAACGTAACGAATTGTAATTGTTAATTGTTAAGTTGATAAACCATATATATTTATATAAATATATACATAATTGTAAACCTGTGCAGATCGAGTATATCTAATATTTGTAAAACTAGTTAAATATTTTCCAATTTCGCTTTTGCATCGCTTTTTCCATAATCGACATTATGACAAATTTATAAATTATACAACAAAACACAAAAACTCGAGAATACGGAAAAGCTTTGAAAGAATTACCATGTTTCTCTATAGATTAATTATTTTGTCTCTGTTTGCTTAATTGTATTTCTAAATTAATTCTTAAAAATTACAAATTAAGTTACCGAGCTAAGTGAATGATACGAATTCCCCCGAAATCCCAATTCATAAAAAAAATGTTAAATTTTTGTATGTTTTGTTTTTTTGTATGTGCGTCCAATCGATTTGTTTTTGTTTTGCTGTACCCTAAAGAACATCCGCATCCGCATCCGCGTCCCTCCAGCATAGCTTTAAATTGCTTATAGATCGAATTATTTTTGCAATTCCTATGTACATATTGAACTATGTCTATATATATATATATACATACATATAAATCTTTATATCTTTACATTATGTAAATGAGCTAAAACTATGTTAATATTGCCTACACATACACACATACATGCATACATATGTACATCGTCGCATATGTACGCAATTATACAAATATATACATACATATATATACAAAGCGAAACACACACACACTCTCACTCACTCTACATGTATAAGAGCACTAAACATACATATATAGTATTCTTGATCCATTTACTAAAATTTTGAGATGGGCCTCAACCTTGAAGCAATTTCAGTTTAGCCAAACGTTTTCTTTAGACTAAGTTTAGAGTTAATCCGGAGTCGACTCCAATCAAAGTTTTGATAGAGTCAGTTAGATTTCTAAATATTACTTTAGTTAGGCTATCATGTTCCAAAGACAAACCTTTATATACTCGTATCGTATCTATATAGAAACACTCACACACACACACACACGCAGACAGAGAGACATATCACCTAGTTGAAGGGGCTCAGCACACGAAACAGCAATTCAATGTTTCTTATATGGAATTTATGTTCAATTTACTTAATCATAATATTTGCGAGAAGTACTTTCTTTTAGGGTTAGTTCCTTAGTTCTACTTAATCAGTTTTGGCTCCACATATTATATAGACATATATTCAGAGTTCGTTGTGGCACTTAAGAACTAGTTAAGATTAGAAACAGTACTACAATGCAATAGGTGTCGAACCTGATATAGCAATGTCTAAGGCCTTATAGAACTTGTCCTAGAAATAGTTAGAACTGGGAAAATCCCCTCGATTGAATTCGATTTGAAAGGGATTTTGTTAAGTACTTGCGCCCATCCTAAGCAGGAATTCAGAAAATAGTTTGCTCGAACGTTGTCAATTTCTGCACATGTGTCCACACACCCACACACACACACACCCACACACACACATATAGAGACACTTGTTTATGCATTTGCATCGCATCATGAGAATTTGCTGTGCTACAAATTATCCTGTAATTGTCTCGAGGACATTTGCTGCAGGATCGCATTGCGTATTCAAATTGAGCAGCGTTTAAGTAACGATTGATTGCTTGAATGATTGATTGATAAGCGCATGCCATCACCACACTCTCAGCCCCACACATTTGATGAACTTTTGGATAATAAAACGATAAACAAATTATTATGATGGCGACATTTTACTTGGGTGGTCTCTCTCGGTTCCTCCCGCTATCCATTAAGGGTTCTAGGTCTAATAATTGTCCCAAAACAGTGGGAAGTTGGACACCTTGCTGCACACACACACACACACACACACACACACACCTACCTGGGTGGCAGCTATAAAAGTCTCTGGTGGAGGCGTCCACTGGTCAAAAGGCAGACGAGATGGCAGCGCAGCAGTTGAGGAAATTCGAGTTGGCCAGGGAGCATCTGGTGCTGGACACCCATGAGGCGTTCAGCTATCATTGGCGTGTTTGGGAGCTAACTGGCTTGATACGGCCCTCGGGCAGGTCCCGGCCGAGGTACCTGCTCCAGGCCATTTCGCTGAACGTGCTGGTCACATTGCTGTTCCCGCTGACGCTGCTGGCGCGGCTCATCCTGACGCGCAATCTGCAGGAGCTGTGCGAGAATCTGACCATTACGATGACCGACATTGCGGCCAACTTCAAGTTCATCAATGTGTTCCTGGTGCGCCGGCAGCTCGACCGGATACGCGAGCTGCTCCAGGTGCTGGACAGGCGGGCGCTGAGCGTGCAGCATCCCGAGGAGCTGGACGCGCTGCGGCAGGCTGTCAGCACGGCGAGGAGAAGCTTTCGCATCTTCGCCGGCATCTTTGTCGTCGGCACCCTGCTCAGCTGCATCCGGGTGGCCATAGCAAAGGAGCGCCGGCTGCTCTATCCCGCCTGGTTCGCTGTCGACTGGCTCAGCTCGGATCTGGCGTACGTGTGCATCTGCTGCTATCAGCTGTTCGGCCTGATCGTCCAGGCCATCCAGGACTGCGCCAACGACTCCTATCCGCCGGCCTACCTCTGCGTGCTCACGGGCCACATGCGCGCCCTGGAGCTGCGCGTGCGTCGCCTCGGCTATCCGGGCCATCCCGAGTGCCCGTCCTGGTGCCGCATCGTGCAGCTGGAGCTGCACGACTGCATCGAGGACTTCATACACATCAGCCAGCTGCACGCCAGCATCCAGCAGATCCTGTCGATTGCCTGCCTCGCCCAGTTCCTCTGCACCGCCACCGTCCAGTGCACCGTGGCCATGCACTTCCTCTATGTGACCGACTCGCACGATCTCTCCGCCATGATGCTGTCCTCGGTGTTCTTCCTGGCTGTCACCCTGGGGGTGTTCATCATCTGCTACTTCGGCGACCGCATGCGCAGCCAGAGCGAGCAGCTGTGCGACGCCTTCTACGCCTGCAACTGGCTGGATCAGTCGCCGCAGTTCCGCCGCTTGCTGATCTTCACGCTGATGCGCAGCCAGAGGACGTTCTGCATCTATGCCGGCGGCTACATAGCCGTCACCCTGGAGACCTTCGAACAGGTGCCCCCATCTCACGTGCTCCATTTCAGTTGATGCCTGTAATCCTATCGATATCTTTCTTTTCCCAGGTCATCCGATCAACCTATTCCGCCTTTACGCTACTGCTGCGAGCCAAGTGATCGGGGAGAAATGGAAATTCACGAAGCTGGAGCAGATATATACACATGCGAGTAGAGCTACTGTAAGTCAGGGAAGAGATCAGATCTAGCCTTTGGCTATAGCTATGACTATAAAGAGCCGAAAGAACCTAATATACGAAATATAGGTGAAGATGGGAGCAAGATATATGGATATAGATATAGCTATAGAAATGTTTATAGAGATTGATTTGGAAAAAATGATATCTATATATAGATTTAGTTATAGAAGAAGATATTGTTATAGGTATATGGTATGTATAGATGTGGATATCAAGATCACTTAGATCATTAGATGCCTATGATCACTTAGATGCCTAGCAAGCTATTAGAGCATTACGATCTATTTGGCGCATAGTATAAATAGATCCAAACATAGATTCATAGAAGACGTCGCTTTATAGAACAGTTATAACAATGCAACCGAATACTAGACTAGAAAGCTCAAGATACTTAGGCTAGACGCATAGCTAAATAAACTTCTCCATTTGCAGAATATCCTATTACATTTCGTAGCAGAGATATATGTATATGGATATCAATGTGTATATAGAAAAATATTGTTTATATGATATGACATGGATAGTTTATATAATATGATACTATATATATATATATATATATGTAGGCAAAGTTTGTTTATATAATGTGATACCAAAGCTAACTCGAAGATCCCATTTTGAGACCAGATAAATAAACAGTAATTCCACTTGAAGTAGAAGTCCATAGGCCATAGATACAGTCATGTCTGCCTACAGTGTCAGCTCTTGAGATGTTTAGTCTATAGTTCGATTACATTCTTATTGATATCCATTAGCCACTTAACACTGTATCAATATTAAGTCTAATCCATGTCTTAATATCAAAATTCAAACAGTGCACGCAATTAACATTAGAGTTTTTATTTGATGGGCATTCGGAATGGCAGGATTTCTGCACGCTATGTCTCCGCTGTGTCTTCTTCTGCTGCTGGCTCAGGTGCTGAAGATTCCGCTGCCGTTGGCTCAGTGTCCGCGTCTGTAGCTGCGTCCGCGTCGTTGTGTTTCTGCTTCTTCCACATTTTGGCGGCGGCGAGTAGCTTGAGATTGGGTCGTGCCATCTCGTCCTCGGGGAATATGTAGTCGAAGACCTCCTCCCAGCCCTCCTCGACACCATCGTCGGAGACGATCTTCTGCCGCTTCTTGATGCGGCGCGGCATCTTGTCCAGCACCTTTTGCAGTGACTGTGGTTCATTGACATCGCGCTCGAAGTCGCGCCACGCCTCCAGGAGCAGGACGCGCGACTCCTTGTCGTTCAGCTGACGCAGCGTATCGTTGGCTCGCTCGTAAATGCGGCGCGCCAGACGCACATTCAGATCGGCATCCGGGTCGCCGTCGCCCTGGCCATGACTGATGCCCATCTCGAATTTGGCATACGACATCCAGACCTTCACGTGCTGCGTGCGCTCGAGCAGGCGCTCGTACAGCTGGCGTGCCAGCTCCGTCTCGCCGAGGGCGACCTCAAAGTCAATGTAGGCCTTCCACAGCAGCTCGGGCATGTCGAGGCGTGGCTGCTGCACGGCCAGCTCGAAGATGGCCCGCGCACGCTCCGTGTCGCCCAGCAGATTCTCCAGCTCGGCGAATTTCATCCAGGTGACACAGTTCTCGGGCCCAAACTCCAGGAACTTCTCGTAGAGCAGGCGACAGCGCTCGAATTCGCGCAGCTGTATCTCCAGATCAATGTAGCCGCGGAACAGCTTGTCCCTGGGACACATGCCGATGGCCATGCCCAAGGCTTTGCGTGCCGTTTGCAGCTCCTTGCAGCGCAGCTCGAACTGGGCGTACAGCAGCCAGATCTTGCTGAACGTGAACACCTTGTGGGGTATTAGCTCCAGGCAGGTCTTGTAGATTTCCCTCGTGCGCTGTATGTCCTCCGTCTCGAGCTCCTCGTAGAGCGCATAGTTGATCCAGATGTAGATGTAGCGACGCCAGTAGTTCTTCTCTTTGGCGGGCGGCACATTCGCAATCGCCCGCTCGTAGGTCTCGCGGATCAGTTCCTTGTCGCCATCGGCCTCGATCAGGCGCAGATAATCGAACCAGGCATCGTAGTTGGTCGGATTGGCGGCCACCTCCTGTTCGTATTGATGCTTGCGCTTGGACACGATCACATCCTCGATGCCCGCCCGATCACCATACTTCTTCTCGTGTATGGTGTAGGCCTTGAATAGCTCTGGTGTCCGATCCTTGGGCAGATGATCGAGCGCATACTTGTAAATGATGCGCGCACGATCGTGCTCCTTCTGCCCCTCCTCGAAGCGTGCGAAGGCAATGAACAGACGCTCCTCGATGTACTCATCGCCAAAGAATTCGACGGCCCGCTCGAAGACACGACGGGCGCCATGTATAAAGCCATGCGTCTCCTCGAAGCGTGCGAACTTGATCCAGTTCTTGACATCGGGATGCACGTAAACAAAGCGTTCGTAGACCTCGCGTGCGCGATCGATTTCCTTGTAGCGCAACTCGAAATTGACGTAGGTCTGCCAGGCCTGCTCCTCCGGCTGCCACTCCATCCAGCGCTCAAAGACCTGCCGCGCTCCGGCCACATTCTCCAGCATCTCCTCCATGTAGGTGTACTTGTACCAAAACTGATTGACGCGTGGCATTATGGTGACAGCACGATCCCAAAGGTTTCGTGCATGATTCACCTGTTTGTTCTTCATTTCCATTTCGGCATATTTCAGCCAAATGGTTACGTTCCGATGTTCGTTGTCCAACGCCCGCTCCCATATGGAGCGTGCGCGCTGTATCTCCTGCTGCTGCTCCTCCCATTGGGCGTACTTGATCCAGTGGCTGACCACCATGCGATTCTTGCGCAGATTGTCCTCGAATGTTTTCCGCTTCCTCTGTTGGTAGTCGGCCAATTCGGCTGGATCGGAAATCTTTTGTTTGGGCGGCGGTGGCAATATCTCCAAATCACGTTCTTTCGCCTCGCGCAGCAGCTGCTCCGCGGTAATTTGCACCTCAGCGGGCGCTTTATTTTTGACCTGAAAACAAAAACGTTTATGTTGGACTGCATTGCGTTGGCTTAGAGAACATACGGCGGACTTACCTTTGCCACCTTGGGCATTTTCTGTGGTCGATCCATGCTGTGTCTTTGTGTTAGTTGCCGGTTCTTCTTTTAAATTAATATAAAATCTTGATTTAAGCGGAGTTTTATGCACATTCGCTCAAAATAAACACGGCATTAGAGATGCGTCTATTGCAAATGCTTCCTCTTATTTCAAACAATCTGTCATTCACATTGTAGCGTATAATGCTATCGAGTACGATTTCATATATTTCGATAAGAATTGATAGCAGTATCGATAACGTATGTAACATAACGTATTTAACGTAAAAGAAATACATTATTTAATATTTTACATTTATTTTTAACACAAATAAACAGCAGTAAATATCTGTTTAATAACCCTTTAAAAACAATCCCATATTTTTATTATATACAAAACATAAATTCATTGTACATAGCACATACAAAAGCTACACAATTAGAAACAAAACTAAACAATACATTTATTTGATTAAAAAAAAAAAATGGGAGCCACACGTCATCTACTCCTCAGTTAAATAGCTTCCACGATTTACCGTTACGCTTCTCGGGTTTCTCGACGACCCAGTGATTAGGATTCATTAAATAGTCCCTAAAAAATATGGTCATTCCACTGCGTCAAAATATCTTCGTCGAATGGTTGCTACTTGCCTCTTCTCCGCCAAGACCTGTTGGGTCTGCGCTCGTAATGTGGCCAGCGACCCGGCAGAGCCACCATATTCCTCCGGCAGCATATCACGAGGCACAAATGCATACAAAGAGTCAATGCTGGATGTGTGAAATTTGATCTTGAATAGAAATAAATTCATTTATGCACCTATGACAAAAGCCTGGAATTTTTACAGATCCTACCAACTTGAAGACCTCGTCGCTTATGAATGGCTTCACCACGCTCACAATGCGATCCAAATACGTCGGACAGTTAACCATGTGAATGGCCTTGAGGCGCACTGGAAAGGCCAGCTGCAGGAATTTGATGTAAGCACGTAATGTGCTAATCGTCAAACGCGATATGTGGCGCATGGTGGTGCCCTTCATATCGAAGATCTGCACCTCGCCCTCCGACAGCTGCTCCTTGTGAGCCTCATCATCGACTGTTACGAACCGACAGTCGGTGACCATGAAAAAGGCTCGCGTATCCTCCGTGTGGTGCATCTGCAAGCAAGGCAAGCTAAGCATGCGAAGTATATAGACACCCTATAGCATGCGTACCTTGGAGGGCTCAAAGTCCCTAAAGCAGTAGAGCGACACTTTGTATTTATCTGGAGTCAAACCCGGAAGCGGCAAAATATCCCTGCAATGGAAAGCTATTAGAAGATAATAGATAAGGAAAGTATCTGGTTGGCCTACGCATATTCAAAGGTGCGACGACTGTCCTCGTCGAGCGGATCCCGTTTGATAAACAAATGCGGATGCTTGTTCCGCAGTGCATAGTTCACCTCGATGAGCTTCTTGGTGTCCTCCACATGGCAGTACATGCACTGATAGAACCGGCGCAGCAGCAAAGGGTCTGAAAAAAATAAATATATTAAATATATAGATACATATATCTATCTATATATGTATATGAGTTGGCATATGACGCAATGGGTGCTCAGCATGTCCGCTATTCAAATGGCCGGCATGCTTGGCTGCCTATAAACGACCTCATTAAGTATTATTGACGTGTGTACATATGTATGTACATGCAGTATGCATGCGTATGGGTCAGCCACCAAGACGAGTGTTTACAATTTTTGGCAGCCGGTCAGCTAAACCAGAGCCCTGCACACTTCGTCCTCCGCCAATATAGAGTGCCGGCCAACATGGTGTATTACATCAGAGAGCATGCTGTTTGTTTACCAATTTCTTGCGGCAGGTTCTCATTGGTGTAGAACCATTCGTTAAGCTCGGCCAAATCACGATCGCGCCTCAGCTGATTTTCACTTTCACTATCGCTGCTCATCGCTCGCGGTATCGTATCGGTATCGGTAAATGAAAGCTACTCGTTTTGGCACTTGCTATCGTGATGGCTATCGGTTTTTCAAATTGCCTGCGCAGCGAATTGATTTGTGGACCGTTGCGTTTGAAGCCTGCTGCCCAACTGACTGGCCTCTAATATTTGATTCATAATTCGTGCTTAAATATACACATATATACGTATATATAAATTATTGATGTATATTGCAAATACATATGCGCGTATTTGAATTTAAATACTTTCGCACTCTCCTCACCAATCAGACACGTACAATATTTTTTTTTTAATTGCCTTCCGCTTGCCCATTCGCCCATTCACCCATACGCCCATTTTGTCGATTTGTTGGCCATTTGTTGACGCTTAATAGTGCCTAAATTTGTGTCTGGCTTGATTTGTCAGTTACAGCTGCTGCGCATCTACCTAATCACCTGATCGTGCATTGAATTCGCATTTAGCACAGGAAATTTGGGAAACAAATTTTAACTGGACTCGAAATTGAAATCGAAACTGAAACCATTTAGCGCAATTATGAATTATTACAGTAAATGGCATAGACATTAGGCCATGTTTAAGATGAACAATAAATTTATTGCATATATGTATGTATATGCACACTCACGCACACACAGACACACTTTTATAAACTACATTTGAAGAACCATTTAAAAAAAAAATATATACTCTCATATGGACGACTTGCTCTCGCAACAGCAGCAATTATCCGCTTCATAATTGGCACTCAGGAGCAAAAAGGCGATGCGCGCCACATCCAGGCAGAACACCACTATGGACTGATATAAATTGAACCGGTTCATGGTAGATAGCGCATAGAGCATCTTCGAGGAGACCACCAGAATGGATATCAGACAGCCCAGACAGCCAGTGCGCTGCAGCAGTCCCAATAAGATCAGCATCGATGTGGTGCCTGTCATGATAATGCTCAAGTCCCGCTTCACGTTTGCTGCATCGCCGAACAACGAGTAGATCATACAGATGGTAATTAGCAGTACAATTAACATGGTTTTAGTCACAATGCGAATCTTGCGCTCCGGCGGAGCATACTGATAGAAGATGCTTAGATATGTGACATTGAGCACCAGGCTGGTGCTGTGCAGGGTCAGCATGGTCTGATCATGGTTCAGCTGTGCCAAGCGCATGCCCAGCGTTGACATTAGTAGAGCGCCCAGCAATGGCTTTGTGGAAATGGAATCGGAATTTCCAGAGTTCGATCTCACACGGAACAGCAGGCCCAGACCCCGACATAGTTTCACACAGCTCAGCATCAGCGCGAGATATCGCAGCTTCTCTCTATGGGGCTTCAACAATCCGCTAATGAACTCCATTGGCGATCCAAGTTAAAAACATGCAAATAATTTAGTTAAAATACAACCCAAAACACGCCAAATATTTTTAGATAAACTACAAAATTTGCAAAAACAAGTTTAAAAGAAAAAAGGAAAGAAATTACAGACTCTGTATTTCTGTAAACCTATCAAAATTGTAATATTTTCAACATAATGTTCAATGACTCGAAATGTGAGAAAAAAAAAAAAAAAAAAACAACAAAAAACACTTAGTTTACATTTTTACATCCGACATTATTCTTTAAAATAATAATCACATTTACGGCTAACAGTTTGCCTAGCTCCATTTGGCATTACTAGAACCAGGACCAACGGCTCTTCGTCTCTGACGTCACCCTCCAATACCTCTCGTCGCTCAGATATGCTCTGCAATTACAAATATACATAAGTATAATATTTGTATACTCTCTTATAGACCTACGATTTGTCTCGCATGATCTGCATCCATTTCTGTTTTATTTCGGCAACTGTACCAGCTTTGCCGCCGTACTCCACTGGCAGCATTTCCCTGGGAACCAACTCATAGAGACTTTCCATGCCCTCGGTGTGGTAATTGATCTGTTTGGCAAGCAATATAATGATCGATCAGTCAGGGAATTGATATCGTCGCTTTAGTCACCATTTGGTAGACATCCTCACGTATGAAGGGCTTAAATAGCGACATCATCTTGTCCAGAATCGGGGGGCAGTTGATGATGTGCATGGCACGCAGCCGGGAGGGATATGCCTCCTGCAGGAATTTCATGTAGACACGCAGCACAAAGATCGACACGTAGGCAAGGTGCCTCATCGTATAGCCATTCATGTCAACGATCTGTACATCGCCATCCGCCAGATCTGCATCAGAAATGCCGACTCCCGCATTTGCGGCGGAATCATCTCCTGTTCTCTCAACATCTGGCTCTGTAAACCGTGCATCGGCCATCATAAAAAAGATTTTCGTCTCCTCCACAGAGTTGCGCTGTGAATATAAAGTTCAATTAAGTTATAGTGAGTATGCCCCTCTCTTTCACTCACTCTCGTTCTCTCTCTCTCTCTCTCTCTCTCTCTCTCTGTCTCTGCCTCTCTCTCGCCTACTCTGTGTATTTCTCTCTCGCTGTCTTTCTCTAGCTCTCTTGCTCTGTCCGCCTCTTTCTCTCCCTCTTATGCTTATTCTCTGTCAATCTGTATATCCCTCTCTCTTTCTCTCTCTCTCTCTCTCCCTATCTCTCTCTTTCTCCCTCTCTCTATCCCTCCCTCTCTCTATCCCTCCCCTCTCTCTCCCTCCCTCTCTCTCCCTCTCTCTCCCTCCCTCTCTCTCTCCCTCTCTCTCTCTCTCTCTACATCTCTCTCTCTCCCTCTCTTTCTCTCTATCTCTCTCTCTTGGTCTTTTTCAGTATTTCCTATTCACTTACTGTCACTTCCCCGCTCTCTCTCTCTCTCTCTGTCCCTCTCTGTCTTAGGGCAGCCAAAGTTTAATTCATTAATCAAAAATATATGAAATATATAGATATGCATTTATACATTTACATATACATATTTATATATTGTGTATAATGCTTACCGTTCGTGGATCAAAGTCCGTCATGCGAAACAATAAGACCTTATGGCGCTCGGGCGTAACGCCTGGCAATATGAGCAGATCTCTAAGAGAACATAGTTAGACAGTTACTGATTAAATTAAAGTTAGTATATGTAGTTAATATTTGCCTTACGAGACATTTAGACATTTGGCCGTCATCTCCTGATCCATGTTGCGATCTATAAATAAATTGGGATTCTTATTGCGCAGATTATAGTTGAGCTGTATCAGGTCCTTGGTGGCGTTTATGTCGTAGTCCATACACTTCAGGAATCGTAGCATTACAATTGGCTCTGCCATGAAATCAACGCAAATGCAATCGATATAATTATCTATTCGTATATATACTATAATTATAGACGATTATATTCTATATGATTGTGGCTATAAATATGGAAGAATCAACAACAACAGACGCTGCTGTTCGCATGCGGAATCTTATAGTTTCTTATACTATATGTGTATGTAAGGCCAATCTGAAGGGGTATTTTAACTATGTTATCAACTGTGTAAATTGTTATTCTTTATATAACGGAAAAAAAGTGTCCTTATAATACTTGTATATACAGGCAGTACTATGATATGCGGGAGTATTATTCAAAATCCACCTAAAATAAATATTTTATATAATTTTTTTTATATACATATATAGTTGGGCTCATGGAAATAGTGGAGGGCCTGTAGATCCATAAATCAAGCCGGTAAAAAAAATATTGTAATTCTAGATGAATCGTTTTTCGATTTTGTTAGCAATGTGACAAATACTTTCTTTTCGAAGATATGTATGTATCTATAAAAATATATATATGCATTTACTATCCATATATATCTCATGACAAAATGGATGAATATATTTTATAATAGTTTACACATTACTTGCTAATATATTAAAGCCAGTATAGCTTGTGTTACGATTGTAGAAAAACTACGAAGAGAGCTATAGATTTATCTTTACACTGATTAATGCCGTATTGTATGTATTTGCTTTTTTATTGATAAGGCTATCAGGTTTGTCTGGCACGCAATGTATGAATGTATTTATCTGGCCGTATGCCTTCCCGCTTCTGTTCAGAAATATATATGTTCATAATATACCAACAATTCCTAACCTATCCCATTCGTTAACCAAGATGCATAGATGAAATATGAAATATATACATATATATCTATCCCTCACGATATGTGCTATGGCATTAGCTTACCTATTTTTTCGGGTAATGTTGAGGTGCTCTCGAACCACTGCAACAGTTCCTTTAACTTGGAATCCACTTGCTCAGGGCTTACAGCTGCTTGAATTGGCAACATTGTTAGTTAGACGTTGTTGTTGTTATTGTTATTACTGTAAACCACTGAGGCTACCACCGGCCGCTCCACAGAACGATCTACTTCGATTTGGCCGAGCAACTGTGCCAAAAATCGCGCCGTTGAATTGATAAAGCCCTGCAAAAGCTTATATATGTCTAATACACTAAAAGCAAACACACTCATACATACACACACATTCGCAAACTGTTATTGCTTGCATTCTATGTTTAATTGAAATATTCGCCGACAGTTCCCTCACTCGCTCGCTCGCACTTGTTGCTTTTGCATGCATTACAAAATGGGGGTGGGAAAGTGCAAGAGAGGCTAAACGAAGCTAAGTATTAAACTAGCCGCCATGAAGTACTCGCTCTTGCGCGCTTTCTCTCTTCCTCTCTCATTAATTTTTGTTTCTTCCTCGTTCGGTCTCTCGGTGTTTGACTGGTTTGAGCTTTAGTAAAAGCTTCGACGTCATGAATGGCGTTGTAAGTAAACAAGTTAAGCTCTTTTTGTTGACCTTTAGTGGTTGCACCGCACTGCCAGTCATAAATATGTTAACAAGCCGAATTGGGGTTGACATGTTTGCTATACCCTGTAGCAAATAGAGATAGCCCATGGGATTGTATGTTAAATAAATAAATATTACAAAAGCTAATTAATATATTAGTACATTTAAAGTTAGACTAAACATAAATTTCCAGAAAAAAAAACAAAATTAAAATGTTTAGTTAATTGAAATATATATATTTTTAGTTATAAGACATAAAGTATTTCGAATTTTGTGTGTGCATTTTTCCCAAATTATTTTTATTTTTTTCTTGACTTAATTAAATAAAATTCTTTGGACTTGAAGTTTGCATTTAACGCTGTGCATATACTTTTTTGTCCCACTGTTCGATTGAAGAACCAATTAGATCGTAGATCAATGTGGATAAACTCTTTATTGTTTTTGTACACATTCAAATACGTTGTCACATTATTTATTCGTAAATTACTTATACATTTGGCATGTGCTTAACATTTTTTCCATTTTTTTTTTTTTTTTTTTAATTTCATTATTAGATATTTTTTAAATATATTTTTTAAAGGTATTCTTTGGTTAACTCTAGTTTAATTAGTGTTTTTTTTTTTCAATTTATTTATCACTGTGTATTTTTTTATCATTTACTTTAACTTGTGTATATTATCTAGGTGTTGCCTAGAAAAAAAAAGAATCAAATTCTATAGAGTTCAATCTTGAATACTTTAACCACAAACATTCCTGATCCGTTAGCTGTCCATATAAAGTCTCAATTACAAAAATCTATTTATTTATATAATTTTTCTTTTTGGTTTTCTAAAAAGTTTTGTTTTTCTCTTTTGTTCTGCATAAAATGTTAACATTGTTCTTAGATCTTAGGATTTCACCTGTGCTATCCTAGCGATTGTACATTTATAACTTCTTCTATACTTTTATACTTTTTTTTTAATTATTGGATAGTTTTGGGAAACAGATGGTAATATATGGAAAGTTCGCTCAGCATATCACCCCTCTCTCTCTCTCCCTCTCCCTTTCTCTCTTTCTATTTTCTTTTTCTTCCTCTTCTCGGCTCGCCTCGTCAATTGACCAATTGGACGAAATCTCATCCCAAATAGACAAACGTATATATCTATTGCTATATTTATACATATATCTTTTAAGTACATCGAGAACAACATTATGGAGACAACACGATTCAAAACATCCAAATACATTCTAGAAGCTAACAAATTTTCTATCCATTTCACAGCAATTCAGAGCTAATAGTTGAGAATCTGATCCATAATTCGTTTTCGATTTCATTGAAAAAACCAAAATACAACTTTTCGAAAAAGTAAAGTGCAATAATTTTTAAAACTAAATCCAAACTGACTTCAATTTTTATATAGCAATATGATCTACCTTCATTTGTATCCATTTTTTATATATGGAAAAACTGAATAAAGCTAAATTTGTTCTGAAGTTTTATAGTCGTACTGAATTGCCCTAATCGAAAACGAAATGCAGAACATGATTTCTAGATTCATTTTAGTTTGGTTTTTCGTTCGTTAAGAAACATGGTTTAGGTTAGATTTAGACGTAGTTGTACATACATCGAGGAATACAGTTAATATATATATATATATATCTGTATACACTATATACATATATTTAGTTTAGATGGCACAGAATAGTCACTTAAAAATATCCATTACAATTCTTGAAGCTAAGCCTAAGTATTATCCATGGGAAACAGACAGAGAAGAACGCTTCTAATATGCTAAATAGATCAACTACGATACGATAGACCCTGGACCGCGTGGCTTAGTCCAAATTTCGTGGTAAAGATTTGGAACAACATTGTTGGCACTGGCATATGTTTCAATTAGATTATATATGTATATATATGTATGTATGTGTTTGTATAGGGTATATATAAGTAGGTGTATATATTGATATATAAACAGTGTATGGACTTGGACTAAGAGTGCGACTGAGATCAAACTTTGATAAACTTCCTCTCTCCCTCTCTCTCTCTCTCCGCTTCTCTCTTTCTCGCCCTCCAACTCTGCCCTCTCTCTCTCTCCGGCTCCTACTCTATCTCTGTCTCATCTTTCTGAATACTGTTTGCATTGAGAGAACTCGAATATGTCTTTGCTCCGTTCTGGATGGGGCATTATAGCTGCTGATCGACGGGATCGATCAGTCAGTCAGTCAGCCTGCGGTACACCGCCCCCGATGGTTACATGGTGTGCGTGCGTGCCACAGTGCCCCGGCTCCGGGACTAGCTGAAGTAGCTGCGTCATAAGCTGATCAGCGTCGCCTTCCGCTGCGCCTCCAGGCGTATCTCCAGCATCGCATATGGCGGCACACTGATCACCAGCAGGACGACGAGCGCAATGATCTTCACCGATTCGCAGAGGAAGCCGTGCGCCGCAAACGTGATGGCCAGGCCGAGGAAGCGCATCGATTGCAGAGGTGCCGTCACATCCGTCACATGATCGTGCTGGACATGATTGAGGGTGACCAGCGAGAGGAGCAGCGTCTCCCACATGCCATTGCAGGCGCCCCACGAGGCGGCTATCACATAGAAGAGGGCGCTATCGTCGCTCGACGGCTTCCAGCTGGACAGCGCCAGCAGCAAGCACGAATGAAAGAAGAAGCCAGCCACTGTAGGATTGAGGTGAGGAATCATTAGGATTAGCCTTGGACATACTACATACACACACACACACATACACACATCAATTGCTACTCACATATGACCACGATGCGCTTGGTATGCCGGAGCAGCATGCTCAGCGTGCAGGAGACGATCAGCTGCATTATGCCCATGCCGATGAGGGCGCCCGGTATCATGTTGATGCCCAGGGAGCAGGAGACAAAGGCGCGCAGAAAGTCGCCCAGCATGTAGCCCTGTTCGGTGCCCACGAAGTAGGCCAACGGTCCGGCAAAGAGCAGCGTGTCCGTGACATCCTTGTGCGAGCGTTCCGGCCTGTTGGCGGCCACCAGAACCTGACGTCCCTGGAGCAGGGACAACAGCAGCGCCAGCAGCGAGAGCACCACGTAGAGCCAGAGCAGCGACTGGCCACCAGCACGGGAGCCGCTCTCAATGAAGCCGGCATAGATGGCGCCCGTGTCATTGGCAGCAAACCAGCTGGGATCCAGCTGCAGCGGACACATGTCGGCTCCACAGATGCGTTCGCCATGCTCGTTCCGATTGTAGAAGTCCTCCGGCTGTGGCCAATTGGTGGCGGGCAGGAGACTGCCATTAGAGCCGGTTGGCTCGGCGCTGCCCGAGGAGCAGCTCCAGTCGTTCGCATTGCAGGCGAGCAGCAGTGAGGCCAAGAGGGCGCCCAGGATCAGGCCGAGATCCTGGGCAGCGCGCAGCCAACGGGCCAAGCGACGCACCTTCTGGTCCCGATTGCAGAACATCTTGTGCTCCTCCAGCAGCGCATCCGACGCGCACTCCTGCTCGTGGGAGCAGCTCAGCTTGCCGCCATAGTGGACAATCAGCGCCGCCTTGCAGCTGTTGGCGGCGCTTAGCATGAAGCCCAGCAGCAAGTATGCCGGCAGCAGCGTATAGATGGAGGCATACAGGTGCGACAGCAGGAACAAGGTCACGGCCAAGCAGTTCCCGGCCAGCAGCGGGGTATAGCCGAATCGCCGGATTAGCCGTATGCCCGGCACACTCATGCAGGCGGCGACCAGGAAGAGTGCGCCCAGCAGCAGGGATCCAATGTTCGGCCCGATGGGCAGCCACTGCTCGCGATGGTGCCAGACGGCGCTGGAGCCCTGCAAGGCCATCACCGGCAGCAGAACGGCGCTCATCAGGCCGTGGGCGATGCTCAGGCAGGTGAACTGCCGCCACACCCTCTGGCGCACGTGGGCGGGCACCTTGTGGCGGCAGTTGCGATTGTTCAGCGTGATCAGGCGGCGTATCGAGGTGGCCCCAATCGAGCTGTTGATCGATTCGCGACGTCGCGATGCCGCCAATGCCGCCTGCACCTGGTACGAGGAGACGGGATTGATGCGATGCGAACGCGTCGAGATCGGTGACGGTGAGTAGGCAGTCAGGTGCTGTCAATACATAGAGAGAGGGAGAGAGGGAGACAGAGAGAGAGAGAGAGAGAGAGATAAGAATATATGTATGTATGTTATGTATAGTCATGCTTAGTCATGTGTGCCCGGCTGGGAGATACCCTCTAATCAGCATTGCCATAACGACTGAACGTATTCGTATACATACATACATACACATGTATGTATGTATGGATAAGCAGTATCCGACTAATAAATACCCATTACTCCATATGTTCAATGCGATCGACTAGACAGATACTCACTCCTACTTAGTCCTAAACATTCATGTATGTGCACCCCAAACTTGGCGTAAATGTCCAGTATTCGACTTATAGATACCCCTTACAAAAGCGATATTGCATTTGCAATGAATACAGTATTTAAATGCGAGGCAAATCTAACCGGCTAACTCAATTGGCAAACACCAAAGGGTATCAGCTAGTCCATCAACAGTAACTTGCGATTGCAATCGACGGATTTTGCTTTTGACACTTGACTTTTGCCCGTTTGTGGCCGCGAGCAACAAGCTGAATTGGATTTTCAATCGTTTGCAGGAATAGGGATGGTGACAAGGGGGGACAAGGGGTACGGGTTAGTCGAAGGTCGTTTGGTGATTCAAATTAAAATCTGTGCCCGGGATCTGCGCAGTGGCCAGTGTCGTGCGTCTTTGTTTGCGTTTAATTACTTATTTGTGCTCGTGGAGGCGTTTATCCAGCTCTCCACTGCCCTGACATTTGACCCCGTTGCCAGACAGCCGCCTGAGCCAAATCGAATCTGATGCTGTGAAGTGAAGGCAAAAGCCAGAAGCACAATTTGCAAAGACTATAAATAAATGACAAGTGCCTGCCCGAGAGCCGGAGCCAGGATTATGCTGTGTGCTGCATGCAGGCTGCACAGTCAGTCAGCCAGCCAGGGAGCCACCCAGCCCATTGGGCCACCCACTCACCTCCATCAGCTGCTCGTCCCACACATTCTGTGGGCCGCCCGAGCTGCGTGTCCGAGTGCGCAGCACGCGATGCCGCGTGGTCAGCGAATGTCGATGCTGATGATGCGGATGTGGATGCGGATGCGGGTGCGGATGCGGATGCGGGTGCGAATGCTGGTGCGGATGCATGTGCTGATGATAGGAATGCGGATATTTCTTGCTGTTCATCAGACTGCTAGCCAAGCCCAGCATGGCAAAACCACTCAGCGTTGTTGTAGTTGTTGTTGTTGCTGTTGCTGCTGCTGCTGCTGCTGTTGCAGTTGTTGACGATGTTGTTGTTGTCTCTATGCCTGATGTTGTTGTCTCTGTGGCCGCTGTTCCTGCTGCAGCAGTTGTAGGACTTGTTATCCCATTAGCCAGCTCTATGTGTCCATTACCATAGCCATTGGCCGTTGTGGCAAGACTCAGCGAGCCGCCGCCACCACTGATGCCGCCGATGCCCAGGCCAGCCATAATATAAGCATTGTACGAGGATTGCTGAAAAGGAAAATATCAAAAATCGCATATAGTTCATAATGGTCAAGGCCTGATACGGCCTTAACATAAATCCAATTGGACAAGTGTACTGTCTTGACGGTAATCCAATTGGCAATTGATTTCCATATATCGATAGCTTGACGATCGATCATGTATCGCACTCACCTTACGCTGTTGGGCAAATACCGATAAGCGTTCGCACTCACGACTCGTGTCCCTTGCACGCTGCTCCAACAACAATTCGTATTCTCGACGTTTCTCCCTCTTTCGTTCCGCCTCCTCCAGCTCATGCAAATTCGGCAGGCTGCCCATTTTGAATTTTCAGTTTTATTCCCCTTTGGCAAAATTTTCGTGCTCTTCACAACTTCAATGCAAATTTGTTTTGAGTGTGTGTATATGAATGTTGGACTATGTGTGTGTGACAGTCCACGGAACTACGATAAACGCAAGATGCGGCAACTGTTAAGTTTGTCCTCTTCTGGCTGTTCCTGCTGTTGCTCCTTGTTATTTGCTGTGCATGCCGGAAACGGAAACGGAAAGCGTAGAGCGGACATGTTTTTACATTTTATTTTCCTCAAGTAAATGTGTATGTGAATGTAAATAATTAGCTCTTAGCTCATTTGATTCTCAATTGTCAAATGTTTCGTTGTCCTTGCGCTCAAACGCAGCATCGCTGTGGCCATTGCTGCCGTTGTTGACGTTGTGAACCGTTATGCAAATGCATACATATCTACGAGAAGAGTATGAGTGTGAGTGCGAGAGCACCAGAGTGAGTGTGAGAGTATTAGTGTTTGTTTGTGAATTAGTGAGCGATTTGCATTGTCGAGTTCATTGTCCGCTGCTCGCTGCCAACAGCAGCAGCGCAGTCGTTGTCAAACTGTTATTGCAAAAGCTACTTCGACTGTTGTCGTTTGATATGCACTATTTACTGTGTATTTATCGATATTTTTGCTAGTCTGCCTGTTGAGATGATACAAATAGATAAAGATTAATAAAAAGTCTAGAAGCAAAAGAAAAATGTTAAATCACATATGTATACAAATTACATACTAGATTATTCAGCTATTTATGTGCATATGAAGGTATTTTTGGTATTTGCACTGCATGTGGGCCAATGCCATGCATATACACGCAAATCATCAGGTGTGTCCACTCGATACACTCACACGCACACACGGGCACAGACAGAACGCAAAAAGCTGAATAGCCAAGCTTGTGTGTGCTTAGTTTGGCTTGCGTGTGTGTTTAACTATGCATGTTTTTATGTACATATGTATGTATGTGTGTGTGAACATTAAGCTGTGCATACTAGTATATGTACCGTTATTGCATTAAAGTTAAGAAGTCGAATGATTTGACAACACTATTAATATGCATTAATTTCAGCTGGTGCTGCTGCTGTCAAGCACAATTTAAATATTGACGACCTTCGGGGACATGATGCTGCCTTCAAGGCTACAGCTGAAGTGTAATTAAACGATTTACATGCCCGTTAACCGGAAAGGCGGCGACTGTTCATAAATATGCAATGCAAAATAGAAAATGTAACATTTAAGAAATGCAAAACATGCACACACACAACAACCCACACACACACACACACAGATAAAGGGAGAGACGGACAAGACTGCGCTGTCCGCATTGCTCTGCATATTTACATACAAATGTATATATGGACGCACACACACACACACCCACACATTCATATGTAAGCATATAAGATGCGTAAATTGCTGTGCATGTGTATGTGTGTATGCGTATAGAAAGCTCGCGTTCAATGTTTATTTGTTTTGCCGTTGTCTTTGTCTGGAACTTTGAATTTTGATTTTGGCTTTTGATTTTTACTTAGCTTAAACACTGTTGCACTTGTCAAGACGCTTACCTTGTTAATTTGTTTATAGCATAAATACAAACAAATGAACACACACACACACACCCGCACGCACAGAAGAAAAATGAACACTATTTAGGTGCCTAATCGAAGGGCCGTTCCCGTTTTGGCTATGTCTGTCTCGGTTGGCACTGTTTTTGGCTTTGCTTTGCTATTGACAAGGCTCTCTCTTACTCGGCCACACGCAAACTCCTCTAATCGCGCACTGAACCAAAAGCCAAAGCCAAAACGTACTGCTGCTGCTGCTGCTCCTGCTGCTGCTTCTGCTTCTGCTGCTGCTGCTGCTGCTTCTGCTGCTTCTGCTGCTGCGGCTGCTGTCATCTCGCCATTGTTGAAAATGGCCCTTGCTAGCAGCTGACATGCGCACTGATTGATGTTGATGCCATGCCCATGTAAATGCGAACCCCCATTGCCAGCATCTGCCTCCAACTTCACCGCCCACGCCCCCTCCATCGGCAAACCCTCCTCTGCATGTCCTTCAATAGCCTGTGGCTAAGTTAAGCAGCTGCGTGCCTGCGGCTTCAGACCAGAATAACAAACAAATTATATTCCACTTAAAATCAAGAATCTTATCAGGGCTAAGTACAGTCATTATTACAGCAGTAGGATATGCAAGTCCAATTATTTATAGAAAAATATAAATATTTATTCACGTGTTACACAACTTTAACATACTTAATGTCTTAAGCCCAATCAGCTAAAAAGGATATTGCCATTAAGAAACCTTATTGGGTGTTAAAGGTACTAATTTCGACCCAACTCTTGGTTTTACCCCAATGAAATCCAAATGGCCTAGAGATCAAATTTAACTTGAGAATATATATTAGTTTTATTTTTATTATATTTTTATTCAATACCTTTACTATTTAATTGAATTATTTTTACTTATTTATTTTTTATTTTTGTGTATTGCTGTCTTTCAACTATTTTCTATTTATGTAATTATTTTTTTTAGTGATTTATTTATACACAATACTTTCTTTTTTGAATTAAATGGAAGATCAGTCTTTAGTATTTCATATTAATATTTTGTATTATTTATTGTTACTTTTATACTGTTTTATTTAATTATTAGACTATAAAATAATATTTTATAGTTTAATAACTATTTTTTATTCATGTATTTATTTATATTTTGTTAAATCATTCATTGTATTTTTTGTCATTGGTTTACTGAAAGAATTTCTCAACAAAAACAAAATATTACATATTTATTAATTTTTTGTTTAATAACATAAATAAAATAATTATTAAATTGTATGTATTTTCAGTTAGATATTCAATTTATTATTATTATTTTAATTTGAATTAATTTTTTAGTTTTGTTAACTTGTTTCAGTTTTAGCAATATGTTTTCAAAATATATTTATTAAATTTATTCTTGTACTGCTTATATATTTTCTTCTTTTATTTTTTTTTTTTTTTTTTTTAATATTTGAATAGTTTATTCCTAATTGTTTTCATTTTTTTCTCTCTTCAAGGATGTTTCGTAAATGTTGAGTTAATATAAAAATGTATTTATTTTTTTCCTTCATTGGTAAATATAAAAAATATTAGAGAATTGATGAATGTGAAATTCACATAAATAAGAGAAATAATAAGAAATATTGAACCAAAACTGACTTAAGAGCACGCCCCTTAGTCCAAAATAATCTCAGCTTGATTGAAAACACGTTTCTTTTGAGAAATGTTTGCTTTAATTTATTTAAAACTAATTGCAACTTGGCTAACAACTGTGCACTACAAAATTAAATGTGGTGTACATTACACGCTTGCATTACATCTAAATAGAGCATTGACTTCTGATATACATACATAATATATAGGTATGTATTCATGTATAAATGATTCCATATATAACTAAGAGAGAGTATATTCTTGAACGTTGTTAGTTTAGTTTGAAATGCAGCAGAATTATTTTATTGCATGCACAAAAATATTTAGATATAGTATTTGTTTGGCATGCATTTAAAATAATATATATATATATATATATATGTTATATATAACACAGGTAAATCTAACAAATTGCAAATGTTGTTCACTTTGGAATACAGATATTTAATAAATGTTTCGCTTTGAGCTGACCCTTAACAAGTAGACAAGATATTCTATTGAGGGAGGGGAAGGTTCAGGTGGTCCACATTCGTAGACACTACATAACGAGCACTACATTGTCTCTATACATAAGCTATATAAATATATATAAGTATATATATATAAATATCTCTATATATGTTATATAAATGTTTACATAATTCTTTTCGATTCTGGCTGAGAGAACGAAACAGCCTCCATGAGTGCATTGCATATACGGCACATTCTGACAAATAACAATTGAAGAATTGAATTAGAATCTGCACTTAGTCCTGGTTAGCGAAATTGAGATGCATTTTACACCAATGCTTGTGCTTGTCGCCCAATTGGAACTCGACACGACGCACTGCGGCGAGAAATGGATACGATTCACAATCAAATTTGCGCAGCTCGTTCGTTTGGCTCATGCTGTTGGGGGCCAGATAAAAGCCGGGACCGTTGGCAAGGCCCGCCAGCAGGCGTAGACACTGCTCCACAATGAACTTGAGCGAGGCGCGTCGATGCAGCTCAAAGCAATCGTGCGCTCCATACAACTGCCGCTGCTCCGCACACAAACGCATATCGCTGGCAGCCACATTGCAGCAATAGAGAAAGGAGCGAAGTCGCTGAGCGCTGACTCCATTGCGATTCAGATTAGGCAACAACAGCTGCAGCAATGGCTCTGCAGCTGCATCGCAATCAGCATTTGCTGGCGCTGCCACTGCCAGCTCATAATGTTCGAGTAGCTCACGCAAGCTGCTCCACGGTGGCTGCGATTCGTCTGGCATGTAGAAGCACTGCTCGTACGCCCGACTGAGCAGCAGCTGGCGATAATGATAGCTGCTGTAGTCGGTTATATGCTTGCGTATGAACTTTTCCGTTCGCATCAGCTCCGACTGCAGCAGACAGGGCGGGGCATTCTGCAGCACCCACTGGCGATGCGACCAGGCATGATAATTGCTCGCACAGCGATCGGCGGCACGTTCGCAAATGCTAATCTCATGTGGCCAGTCGATGGCATCGGCGCCTGAAAGAATACAATATATGTATATATATATATAGAAGTGCATTAAAAGAAAATGCCAGATGCGACTCACTTTGAAAAGAGTAGAGCCACCGACGATAGGCAAAGGCCTCGTTTGACTTTGGCTTGATGGACAGTACGAGCGCTGAGAATTGCAGCTCCTTGTTGATGCTTAGGCGATTCTTTTGCACCAGCTGGCGGCGTATGTGCCAAAAGGTGGTCACATCTGGATTGATCAATAGGGCCACATTCAAATACTTGGCCAGCGAATCGCTCTGCTGTTGCTGCTGCAGTACGCGCAGTTGCTGTTGCATCGTTTGCTTACGATGCGCGATGAGGATGCGATGCGCATGATCATACACATGCTGAGCGCACCACGATTCCAAGCCCAAGTTATGATCCACGTGCACCACGGGCGACTTGTTGCAGTTCGTTTCCTTGGGTATGATCTCAAATGAGGATCTGGAAAGGATTTAACGATTTTATGATTACCATTGAATAGAGGTAAATTCATTTGGCATTAGCTTACAAATCGGCATCCTTGAGAAACACAGCGTTTATGTCCCTGATGATCTTCTCGCAAAGCACTTTCTTCTCATTGTTCAAGTCCAAATTCATTTCGTCTTCCATTTTTGCGCTTCGATCTACGATCCGTTCCGTTCCTCTTTAGCTGCTGTCGACGATTGATCGCTTGCCTCCGTCGATTCAATTGTATTGGGCACATTTATTGCTGTCAATTAATATCTATATATTTATGGCTTTAAATTTGCCACATTTCATGCGTTCTATTTGTCTTTTCTGCTTCGCCTCTTGTCCATCAATTCAGACACGAGCCCATCTTCGAGTTGAGTTAATTAAACGATTCTATCAGAGGGGAAATTGCGGCGCTAACTGGAAGCTTCACTGTGACATTTCTTTGGCAGTATAGGTATGTATCGCTCACATTCGAAACGACGGCCTTAGCTCGGCGTTGATAAATAAATTTCAATTAAAATTGAATCTATTTGCTGGTCACTGCTGCTGTTGCTGTTATTGTTGTTGTTGTTTGTTTTTAACGAATCAGCATTGCGGCGTTCAACACTTTTATTCAATCACGCATAATTCTCGTTGTTTTTGCTGCTGCTACTATTTTTGTTGTTGTTTTGTATTTGGCATCAATTCGCATAAAGCGCCAACCGAACACGTTAAACAAATATGTAGTTTTGTAAATAAATATGCTTCCCTGCTTATTGTTGTTATTAATATCGTTGTTGGTCTGATAGTATCGATAGCTCACATGAAAACATCGCTTACACGTAAATCGCATGCCCTCTTCACCGTTCCCGGTTAAGGTAAGAACACTGACCAAAGTGGTATGAAAAAACGGAAAAACAATATTTTATGGCAAAAACATCATCAATTAATTCGACGCACATTTAATTTGAGTATATAATTTAGATTGTTAATACACTTGTGAGTATTACTGTCTGATCATTTTTTAACGCTTTTCAGCATTAGCACTTAATTAGGAGTGCTTAATTCGGTATTTTTAACGGCTGCCGATCAGCTGATATAGCAATGTGACCAATCTACAGACAACGATCGTTATCGATATAAATCTATCGAAATTTGCATGCCCATCATGTTGTTGCCTTCCACGTGCGCGCGCGCTGACGCCAATTAACTACGAAGACATTAAAATCAACATGACTAGCTTCCAGCCACTTAATATACGACGATTTCAACAGAAGGCGCAAGTGGTCACGCCCGATACAATTTACTGGGATCGTTTAGCGGTAAGCTCATTGTTCTTATTGTAGATATAATCAAAGTAAACATAAGACACTTCACCGAACAGAAACCCGAACTGCTGAAGGAGCATACAACGATAGACTATATTGACTTCAGTCCCAGTGAACCGAGTAACTTTGTGCTGACCTGTTCGGTGCGTGTACAAATCTACAATCTGGTGACCAAGCTTGTGGTCAAGAACTTGTCACGTTTCCAAAAGACCGCATACGGCGCTAATTTCCGTCAGGATGGTCGGCTGCTGGCCGCCGGCGACGAAGAAGGACATGTTAAAATCTTCGACACGACCAGCCGTAACATATTGAGGTTATTCAAAGGCCACAAAGCGCCCGTGCATCGCGCCTTCTTCACCGCCGACAAGCTCCAGCTGGCAAGCTTCGCGGACGATAAATCCGTCCGGCTCTGGGATGTGGCGAACGAGAAAGTGGTGCAAACATATGAAGATGCACACACCGATTATATAAGAGCCGGTGCAATGCACCCGCAGTCATCTCACATGTTCATCTCCGGCGGCTACGATGGAAAAATCAATCTGTACGACACACGCGCCGAGAAAGCCATCACCCATACTCTGGACCATGGCAGTCCAGTGGAGTCGATGCTGTTTCTGCCCAATGGTTCGATATTCATCACGGCCGGCGGCACACAGGTGCGTGTTTGGGACTTGATTAGCGGCAGTCGCCTGCTGACGACCATGTCGCAGCACCACAAGACAATCACTTGCCTGAGCCTTGGCTCTGATGGCCGACGCCTGCTGTCCGGCGGTTTGGATCGTCATGTGAAGATCTACGATGTGAGCACCTACAAAACTGTGCACACTCTGACCTATCCAAATGCTGTTGTTAGCCTGGGCGTTGCTGCCAAGGATCAGGCTGTGGTTGCCGGCATGGTCGATGGCCTTGTCTCCATTAAGCGTATGATTGTTGAAAGCAAACCGAGTCACCTGAAAAAGATCAGGGTCAGTTACCGGAAACAACGTTTGCAGAAGATGGCACGTCCGGCGACGGGTGTTCCAGTCGATCATGTGGTATCCGACAAAAGCAAAGGTAACAAACTGCAGAAGTTCGATATCCATCTGCGCAAATATAACTACAAGAAGGCCCTCGACTGTGTCTGCACACCGTTAAATGTTAAGAAACACCCGGAGATGGTTGTGGCCGTCATTACGGAGCTGCAACATCGCGGTGCGCTACAAGCCGCATTAACCGATCGCAAAGATATAACTATAATCCGATTCATCAACTTCCTTTGCAAACATCTCGGCGAGGTGCGCTTTATGCGTCCGCTGCTGAATGCAGCCAGCGCTGTGATGGATGTGTTTGAGAACAATGCCTTTGCCTACAACAAACCCATGATAGCCGCCTTAGAGCGACTCAAACGGACCATGAAATCGGAGGTGGAGCTCACCTGCCAGCTGCTCCAAATCAAAGGTGCTCTCGAGATGATCATTGGCGGCGCCCTTGACAACAACGAGTCCAGCACTAATCACAGCTACACCCAGCCAATTCCGACCAAAATGCATCCCTCAAAAGCAGCCTCCAGCTACATAGTCATTGTCGACTGATCGATTAATCGATTGAGCTATGTCTAAGATTAATTTCTAACATTAGTTTTACTGCAGTGAAATCTATTTATGTTTGCATTTCATTCATTTACCTAAGCTTAAATTGTACAAAGCTAAATACTATTTCGCTTCAAAGTTTGTTTTTTTTTCTTGGGTTAGTCAAGCCTAATGTGAAAATGTTCTCAAAATTCAGATAGATCGGATCGGAAATCCTTAATGTGAACATAGAAAAATAAAAAGATAAATGTTATTTAAATTTCTTGTGGTTTTTGTATTTCAATATTATTATTATATGTATATATATCTTTTTGTGTTAACTCGGAAAGTTGTTAAGCCACCCTCGTTTATGGTCATTGCGTTAAATAGTTTGGTTGTAACTTCATTATTTCCAATTAATATGCTATATAATTTTATTCTTTTTCTTTCGCAATTTATTTTTATTGGGCTGTTTTTATTTTGTATTTGTATTTGTTGCTTTTTGTTTACGGTTATTTGGAAAGACGAATTTACAGTTAGAATTTGCTTACGCTCGTGGTGTTTTGTTGTTGCTGTATTTGTTTTGCTTACGATTTTTCGTTTATTTCTCTGTTGTTATTATCGCTTAACGTTTAACTCCTCTAGTTGTATATGCTACACATATGTATATTTATTTATATATAAGCATATACATATACATATACATATATAGATATATATGTTTATGCACTATAACTACATCCGCAATCGCAATCTCTTAAAGCTAGTGCGAAATATATAAGGTTACAAGATTAATAACTAAAAAAAATATTAGTATATTACGTTACTTAGCTAATTACAACTAGGTATATGCAGGTGTGTGTGTGTGTGTGTGTGTGTATGCCTTGTCTCTTCGTCTTTCCGCTGCTGCCGCACGGTCCTTCCATCCACTACTCATCCATCCAGTGTCCCGTGGTGAACAAATACCAGGTCACTTCCATACATAGAGCTCACACCTTCAATCCGCGTTAAATTGGTACACCTACATTACATATACATATGCATAAATTGCCTTTACATTTACACGCGGCTATTGGTGCTGCTGTTGCAATTGTTGTTGTTGTTGTTGTTGCTGCTGTTGCTGTTGCTGATGTTGTTGTTATCATTATCATAATCGGTAATTGTTAATTATTGCTGCTAACTGTACAATTTTATCGTTTACAAATATAAATATATTATTTATTTATTTAATCTTCTTGTTTTTTGTTTTTTTTTTTAATATATATTCGAAGCAATGTATATCTTAATAAATTTTGAACGAGAGGATCTTTAAAAAAAAAAAAAATGTAACAAAAAATCTCTTACAGGTAACAAAGATTTTGAGAATTGTATGATTTCGCTGCTATAACTTTTTTCCTACTATACATAAATTATCAAGCGATGAAAGTCAGACAGAATGACAAATTAAACGCTTCACATAATACAATAAATGTTAAAACGAAGAGAAAAAAAAAAGAAAACATAAACAATTGCATTCAATCAATACGATATGCGTATATGCATATCCACATGCACCGTAACATCCTTACATCAATTACCTTCAATGTATGTGTGTGTGTGTGTGTATGTATGTATATATACCGACGTATGCACAACATATGTCACAGCATATATATATACATATATGTATATATGCAAATATTTGTTGTTTTCCTTTTTTTATCAAGTATACACAAATTGCAAAACTTATTTTGGACAACGCGCTGTCCATTATATAAATAATGTTTGAATGGCGGGTTCGATTTGAAATGATGATGATGATGCTGCTTTGAAAGATGCTGCAGCTCCGACTACTGCAGCTGCTTGTGCTGCTGTGCTGGCCTCCGCTTCTTCTACTGATACGCTCTGTATGTGGCTTATCTAGCCGCATGTGTCTGGTGTTTTCGGGGTAGGTGTTTTGTTTTGTTTTTTGTTAGTTTGTGTATATATATATAAATAAATATTTATATTTATATATATATATATTTTTGTATATATAAATATGTATATATAAATATATATATATATATATATATATATATGTATATGGATGAGCGACGACATTTGGCAAACGTCCGTTCCTTAAGCTTATACAAACACTTAAGCAACAATAAATCTTAGCCATCCTCCTTCGGCGGCGTAAACCAACCTGTCAATGACAATAACAAGCAATTAGCACAATTCGATTACAATTTGAGTTATTCATTTGCTACGATTTACCATTTTTCTCGTGGATCTGCACTAAAGATTTGAAGCTCTGTTGAGCCCTTGCTAAGCTGTATTGTCCCTGGGTGAGCGCCTGCTTTGGATTAGAAAAGAAATGTATATCATTTATAAGCACTTAATGTCTGCTTAATATTACGCACCTTTGTAGCACCAAATTGTATGCGCGCTTTGCCCTTGACCAGCGTCGCGGCAATTTGCATGATCACGGCTTCGACTGTGTAGGCGGAACTCCAGCCTTGCTTGGTCAGCAGCTCCATGCAAATAGCGCCACCAATGAGCACATAGCCACCTAATGAAGAAACGATGAAAGCATTAGAATCATTGTTGGAATTATGGCAATCAATTGGTTAGGTAATTAAGCCAGGCACCTGAGATGATTGGATGCACGACACGAACAAAGGGCGGCTCGAACGGATACGTCTCCTTGAAGAGTATGTTGAGCAATATGCTATCTTTGCCCTCCTTCTCTTTCAACTGCTGCAGATCGCTGTGCAATGGACTATCCGGATCGACAGACTTGAGGCGTATATTCCATTCATAAATGGAATCGTTGACGAGCTCAATGGAGTACATGTTCTTCTTGAACGCATCGGATCGATAAATATCACGTAGTTCTTTCATCAGGCGATCTGTTGCCTGTACTGAACCAGAAACTGAACCCTGCATCAATTAGAAAGAGATGGCGATATAGAGAGGCGATATAGAGAACAAGAGAGAGAGACAGTTATATACATGAAATTCTATACTTTTCTTGTATATATGTATGTACGCACTTTTAAATAGTCTTGTCTTTGACTTTGACGCAGTCTTTCTAAAGTCGCTAAATGTTCCACCTCCATATCATCTTTCTGCTTAAAGAGATTTCATTAATAATAATAATAACAACAATTGTAATTGTTCATGCGTTGACGTACTTTATTTGTGTTTCGCACATCATCCATTTCCAATGGTAGATCCTCATCGCCCTCGCTCTCCTGCTCGCTCTCACCGATGGGATCCTCGATTTCGTCCTGATCCGAATCAGTCTCCTCGTTGCCATGTGGGCCCGCTCCACCGCCAACGCCGCCACCAACACCCCCACCACCAGCTGAACGCTCCAAGCGTAATGGCGAGGCAGAGGGCGGCGGCGTTTGCAGCGGCAGCGTTAAATTATCAATATCGGGTGGCAGTGGAACATTGTGTAAACGGCACAGCTCACGCAGCAATATGCCAACCTAACGCATATACATAATCACTGATTAATGCACGAATTCACGGAGAGACAGAGAGCGGGAGTGGGAGAGAGAGAGGGAGAGGGAAAGGCATGTTAACTTACCTGATTAATCACATGATTATCGCGACCATTTGTGTTGCTAAGGATTTGCACGGCGTTCGTGACGCTCGTCTCTTCGCTCTCAGCAAACCAAACTGGCGGCGATGATGGATACGTTTCCTGAGGATGAAACAAAAAAAAAACATAGCAATTCAATCAAAACAAATATAACATAAACGCTCACAAGTGCAGAGACATTATATTGTATATACATATATAAAATGTCTTATATAATCCCCAATCTACATAGAAGTTTGTCCAGTTTTCATTGCATTTGCTTGCCGACATTTTATGAATATATATAAATTAGCTATATGCTATAGGTATTCAGTTCTACTGTACACTGAATTGTCTCCCTACTCTAATACCAGTTGAGAGTTGTTCTATAAATAACTCCTTCTTTTCCATACAGCTATTTTGTGTGACTAATCAAGATATTCAAGTTTCGCAATTTTATTTACATATACTAATAACATTTAAAAGCTGTTATGCGATTTAGATTTGTTGGCTATACTGATTAATCAGTCAAGTTAATAAATTTAACACAGCAAAGTTTCAAAGTTCCCATTCCTTGTTTATTATCATTCAAGGAAATATTGAAAATATTGCTCAATTTACTGATAGCTTAACAGACATAAACAGTTGGCTAAACAGCCAGATAATACCTGTATGTATGTATATATATACATATATATAAATAATGTGTATATTATATATATTTCTGAATGTGGAGACTATAACAAAAGCTGCGAGACAGCGTCAATGAAATTACATACATATATAACCTTTAATTAGATCGTTGAACCAAAGCAGAGTCGAAGCTGAGCAGAGCTGAGCAGAGCAGAGCAGAGCACAGTGGAGCGGTGAGGACAGCAGAGGAGAGTGGAGGATGCGAGGAGAGCAGACAGAAGTGAAGACAGAAGGACAGCGGTGAGGCGAGGGACGGTATGACAGAGGCGAACTTGGCAAGTTGGCAACTGTTGTTGGAGGCGCAGGGCAATGAATCATAAATTATTGAAGCACGCTGCCCCTAAATAAGAATCGACAACGGCACGATAAAACAGCGTGTGAGAGCAACTTTACGAAAGGTGAACTGAAGAAAACAAAAAATAAACAATATGTAGTAAATAGAAGCGTCAATACCCTTTAGTAAAAGAGATGCAGTCTAATAGATATGGCAAAACTTTTGAATGTCTATTTAGACTAAATCACTGATTTAGTTACTATTTAGCTAAACTCTAATATACTGTTATAGTTGAGTTCTCACAGTGAATCTAGGCAAAAATTAAACTCCTGTTGTTATGTTACATATTTTGTGAGAATACGTAGATACCCTTTCGCCTTGGAGTAGAGTAACGAAAATATGTAAACGAAAAACATGATCAAAAAAGATGATGAAGCAGACAGATTTTCGCAGCAGCAAAGCTGAGAGAGCAAAAAAACAGCAGGAATAAAAGAAAGGAGAGGATGAGTGAGGCACAGAGAGAAAGAGAGAGAGAGAGGGAGAGGTAGGGCAGCCTGTAGGATAAACCAATGGAATTCTACTGTAAAAGTTGCAAAACAGCAAGAAGTTTTCTGTTCTCTCTCTCCCCCTCTCTCTCTCTCTCTCTCTCTCTCTCTCTCTCTCTCTCTCTCTTTCTCTGGCTGGAAATTCTAGCGGTGCGCCGGAAATAAGAGCAAAGTGACCTTCGTCAATTTGATTGAGCCATGCAGTTATTTGATCAGTGTTTACAATACACATAAATGTTTATTTGTAATTAGAAGCAGGTTTAATTTTTTTTTTTTTTTTCATACAAACAAACTGTAATGGAAAGCGTCTGCTGATTTGTGCCTCGCAACAACAGTATTGGGGATCAAATAAAGTTTATATTGGATCTAACATAAATAAGATTGAATTGGAGCTAGGCGTGGATCATCAGTCAGTTAGTCAATCAATCAATCAATCAATGAGCAATCGCATTAACTTGATATATGTATCTAATATACACTGTCTCTATGTGCACTTTATGAATTACTTTAACTGCGCATTTGTTGATAAGTATATACATATATATATATATTATAGGTTTATATAGTACTACTTACCGTTATGTTTGCATGTATGTCGTAGCGCTTGCCATTCTTATCGATGAACCTGCAGAGGAGCTCATCTACGCTGGAATTGAGTATCTGAAAGCGGTCGTGGTTCTTCGGAAAGATTTTCTCCAGTGTTTTGATTTCTTGCTTCAGTGTGTTAAGGCACGCCATATTGGCGGGCAAGACAACGTGACAGCCAGTCAGTCACGGATTCGCCTCCCACCGGAGCCCGAGTTGCCGTGTGTGTCTGTGCGTTTATGTGTGTGTATGTGTGTGTGTGTGTGTGTGTGAGTGGATGTATAGAAAGGGAGCAGATAACAGCACCACAAACTACCACTACTTCCACATACGCGCTAGCACGGTAACGAACACACACGGACACACGCACGCGGAGATACACATGCACTTATACAATGCAAGCGTCTGAGCTGAATGTCTGGATGCACTTTGTTTTTAATATAATTTTCTTTTGATGTTGTTCGTAATTTGTTGTTTGTTGTTTTGTATTTACTTCTTTTAGTTATATTTTTGCTTTTGTTGCGGCTGTGACGTTTTGGGTCCCTTTGCTCAGACTCTCATTCTCTCTGTCGTATTGTGCGTGCGGTCGACGGTAGGTGGCGCTCGTGTCTAGCTGTAACTCGCGTTTTTTATTGTATAAAGCTAGCAAGGCTGCTGTTCTTCGGTTTTTTGTCTCGCTCGCTCGTTTATCCCTTTATTGAGGTCTTATTTTTATTAATTTTGTTGGAGGTAGTTGATATTATACTGTTATTGAAACAGTGGCATCAGCAGGGTAAGGCAAATTTATCAACATGTTCGTTATTGGCATCGGATACCCACGCACACGTTCGCTTTACATATATTTATTTGTTGGCTGCTTGATGCAAGTATTGGTGTTATTTATTTTCTTTTTCTTTTTTTTTTTCTTTCTTTCTTTCTTCTTATAATTACTGTTTTTGTTATTGTTGTTATTAATATTATTGTTATTCTGTTGTTGCTGCTTGCACTTCACTTGAGTCGTCTTCTGCGCCGCCCCCTACACAGCATGCGCTCAATTTTTGACGCGACGCTTTCGCTCTCGCTCACGCTCTTCGTCTCCCTCTCCCACTCCCACTCCTAGCGGTCTTTCACTCTGTGGCGTCGTTTCGTTGACTTTCAGCAATGTCCTCCTCTATTGCTTTCTATTGGGGGTCCTTGATTTGCGGCTTCTGCACTCTGCGTATTCAGAAACAACATCATGAGCACGTGTTTCACTTGCAATCATTGCAAACAAATTAATAACAATCAAGCACTCACGTCAAAATAAAGTTTACAAACAAAATTACATATACTTCTACTTGCAAGTACTAAATACGATAATAATAATATTAATACAAATCAAAACTAACGAAACAAAACTTTTACCATGATTGCTTTTTTGTGTCTAGCTTGCTACGTCAGCTTTTACTTGCTTAAAAATATACATACATGCACACACATATGATAAATGATTGAGAAAATTTTAAACTTTGTTTGCCAAATCAATTTTGTTTATTTCTTTCCATTTCACTTCATTTTAATTTTAATACTTGACCTAACACATTTTGCAATCATGTAATTGTTCACTCTTCTTATTCTTTAATTATTTGCACTCGATCAAGAATCAAAATGGAGAGTCCAAAGTGTTTCGTTTACAGTTTAAATTTGAGCCAATCGCCTCTCTACGTAAGCGGGTGCAAAAAAAGAAGCCTGTAAATTCTGCAGTCCAGAACAGCTGCGACAGCGCATAGTAGAATGAAAGTGATTTTCTCCATGCCAAAGTCTCAGTATACCAACACATATGTATGCCAATGCCTGTGTACGATAACAATTCAAATGCGATGCTTTCATTTTTTGGCGCCTCTGGCGCTACTGTGCACGGCTTCAAGCTTACTCTCACGCGGAATATGGGCAGATGTAAGAGAGGGAGAGAGCGAGAGAGAGAGAGACAGAGAGCGTGAGGAGAGCGTTCAAATTCGGCTTTGCCTGCCCAGCTGCTGGACTGACGGGCTGAAGACAGTTCAATGTAAAACCGCACAAATACACGTACACTTGCACACACACGTTAATTTAAAAACATATACATATACATATGTATGCATAAATGTTGACATGTACATTGGAGCATATCAACGAAGCGGTAATGGACTACAATAATTTTTAATGTTTTCTATTGTGCATACACGCACTTATGCACATTAAGACGTATGCATGCAAACACTAATGCAACTAATTGACTTTACTGTTGCCTTGCTGCTATGGCTGTAACTGTCGCTGTCGCCGCTATGCTGCTGCACTGTGTTTTATTCAATCTACCTTATCCTGCACTTTATACATTGAAAACAGAGAAAAGAGTAAGAGGAGGTGAAAACGTAGAGCTCCTTTGTTTGCGTATACCAAACACACATACAGAGACCCACCACATTTAAACAAACGCACACACGCAGACAGCACACAGACTCACGTACGCAATGAACCCGTTCGAATTAAGTTCTAAATGCACAAAGAAAAAAAAAAAAAAAAAACTTTATATAAATAAATAATAACAATATGGGCAAGTGGAATGAAAATTGAAAAGCCAACAATAAATAAACAGAGGCACAGGGCACAGACAGACAAACGCACACGCGCACACAGACACAATAATAAAAAGCAACGGAGTCAGTCGCACGCCCGCTTGGCACCTTTACGACATCGTCAATTTGGCTCCACCGGACCGATCGACCTGCTGCACTCCACTCCGTCCGACGACTTGAAGCTGCGAAATTTTACTGAAAAATCACTTTCGCCAGACAGGCGCCGTCGCCGTGCAAGCGACTCACACACACTAACATAATTATGTATGTATGTATGTACCGAAAGCAACCGCAACAGAATCAGTCAGCAGAGCAACAATGACAATCGAAAGAAGTTATCGGTGCGCTTACGTTGCTATCGAAAGAAGGAAATTCGCACTCTGCACTATCACACTCACACACACACATATATACACAAACACACACTCATACATACGTGTGTGTATGAAATTACATATGTATATACGTACATATGCAAGTCAAATGTAAACGTTGAATGTAAAAACGAACAAATTAGATATCGGTTTCTCCCTATCCCCCACTGCAGCAAATGTATTCGTGACTATTTAGACAAATTCACATTGTTGTGCTATCGAAATGGCTAACTGACTGTTGTTTTCAAATAAATATTTTTTCAACAAAATCAATTGGCAGATACAATAAATACATATGAATGTGTAGTTATGTACATACATACACATGTTTTCATTGCACACTGCCAAACATTACAGGAAATCTTACAACACACAATATCTATATATTCATATGGATGTATGGTACGATATGGATGCACATTCATACATTAATAGTCAGGTACAATTACCTCTGCAAAATACCTTACTGCAACTATGTATATATGCGTGTATTTTAAAGTTTTGCACGATTGCACTAATTCGCCTTCGCCATATTTTTTGTGGCAAATGGCCTTTGATGTGTCGCAGTTATTGCATATGTATTTGTATAAACGCGAATAGCTTTTTAATTTGTTATTATTCTCCTCGTTTTGTAGTCCAGTTTGTAAGAGTTTTATAAGTTCTATCACTTAACATAACATGCACTTTTTTTTAAAACTAGAATTTAATGGCTTTAACTACAATATGCTCCCGAAACTTAGCAATCACGTAGGCGTGTAAATGTCTCCGGAATTATAATCTATGTACATCGTCTTCCGTGAACGTCTGACGATATTTCTTGCTCAAAAAGTGTGACCAGAGTGGTTTGTCAAAGAAAACAACAATGTGTTTAAAATACCATAATATGTCGCATTTTACGGGTGATCTATTCGTGAAAAATATTAATAACTATTAAGATAACCTCATAAATCGAATTTTAAATACAATACATATTTAATATACTGTAATTGTTCTGCACAAATTCGCAAATTCGAGAGACATGACAGCTTTTAAAAATATCGATGTTTACCTAAATGCATTGTTGCTTTATTTCCCATTTGCTATCGATATTGGCCATTGGAATTTGGTACATCAGCATCAGCTGGTGCTATTTAATAACATTTTTCATATATACATACGAACACAACATATGCGTTACACTAAAAATTCAAACAAAATTTAATTAAATTCGATCGATATGTTTAACAAAAATTTCTTTTGTAAATACAAAAAATTATAGCTACTTTATTAGAATCTACTCCTTTTTTATTATTATTATTTAGTTTTTATTATACTTTTGAGCTTACTTCCCGTTATTTTTACTTTAATTAATACTGCATCAATTAAAGTGTTTATTATAAATATTTTTTTTTTAGGTATACATTTTTAGATACTGGGCGCACATGAATGTGGATAAATGTTGTGTGTAAGGGAGTTGAGTACTTCAAGTCTTTTTGTGTGTTTTGGTTTTTATTTAATTAGATAATATATCCAGGCATTAATAGATTGAACTTAAAGCACGACGGAATGAAAATTGAATTTTTACACTTCATTGGATTTCTTTAGTTATAGATTTATGTTTAAAGTAGCATAATTTAACCCCGCCATTAGCTAGTTCGAACGAAATAATAATTTAAGATAAAAAAAAAAAAAACATTGAACGCTCTTTTTTTCATCTACTCTTCTTTTCTCTAATTTTGTACGAAAAATGCATTGGGCTTCAGACCAGAGCCGTCCACCCGTAAGCCAACGTATGCCCCCTACATTTTCGTTTTACTACTTCAAAGCTTCGAACGGATTGTCCCCCTAATCCGTTATTTCCCCTCCCTTCTGGTCAAGCCCAACGCATTAAGCGCACAACTTTTCCTGTTTTCGCATTTTCTCCGATTGTGAATTTATCCTGCGTTCTCTTCTTCACGCTATCTCTCTCTCTCTCTCTCTCTCTCTCTCGATTTACCTCTCACGTTCTCTTTCTGTTCATTTCATGCAGTCTTGCTTTAGAGTTCGCTGTGTGGTGTTTTGGCGTCGCTTGTGGGAGTGGGTGTTACCTGCTCCTCCTCCTTCTGATCTTTTGGCTGCTCAGCTTTGTCCTTGGCCGCTTCTTCGGTTTTGAAGTCGGCGTTGTCGCCGCTACCACTGCCACTGCCTTGAACTGTCTCTTCAGCAGGTACAGGCTCCTTAGGCTTCTTATCGACCTTCGCCTTAGGTTTCCAAATCTTCATCTTGTTGGCCATATACTGAACTTCGCGATCCAGCGTGGCCATCTTTTTCATCATATCTTGCACCGTTAGACGCACATCCGCATTTCGGCTGAGCTTCTTCTGGGCGGCGACTTCGGTCTTCAGCCAGGTGCTTGACTCTGTGATCACTTTGACGAGCGTATCGATCTCCACCTGAGTGAAGACATCCATCTCGGGATTTGTGTCCTTGGTGAGATTACGTGCCGTCAGAAGGAACTTTTCAGCGCTCTCGATCATGCCCTTGAAGGACTTGATCGCATCCGGACGTTCCTCGTGCTCCCAGTGACGACCGAGGAATACACTTGACAGCTTTTTCAGCTGCTTCAACTTCTCCTCATAAACTTCGGGCGTACGATTCTCCTCATCCTCGTACAGCCACTCGGACAGCTTGCTGCACTCGGCTAACAGCTCCTCCTTCTCCGCGTCCGTGGCACACTCCGCATAAGGCTTTTCATCCAGCTTCTGCTGCACCTCAATGATATGCGATTCGAGTGCATTGAATGTGGACTCCAAGCGAACGCGCTCCTCCTCTTGCTTGTTGATAGCCTGCAGCTTGGCCAGAGCGTCGTTGTAACCGCTGCCACTCAAAGGCTGTGTAAATCTAATCTCTGTCTTGTGGGCCACGGGTGCCTTGATGGTGACTAGTTTGATGGTCTCATTCTTGGCCTCCGTCTTGTTCTCATCTACATTTTTGGTGGGAACTGAGTCGTTGGCATTACCGGCTTTCTTAGTTTCATCATCAGGCTTGGGTTCGGTTGGCTCCTCCCCGGATTCTTGGTCATTGGACGTTGGGGTTTCGCTGCCCTCAGCTTTCTCAGCCTCCTTGGTGAAGAGTTTGCTGATGGTGCTGCCTAGCTTGGCCAATGTGCTATCCTCGTCCTGCTCCTCATCAACCTTTTGCTTCTCATAAACGTACTCGACGCCCGTGCAACGGAAAATGCCAGAGTCATCCATATAGAAGTACGCCTTGATGCCCTTATTGTCCACCTGATCCTTCTTCGACTTCTCCAGCAGATCCTTGACCTTTTGCAGTTCAACGCGCGTGATATTGAGGCTTCCAAGAGCAGCAATATCCTCCGCGCTGTAGCGATCCAAGTCTCCATAATTTACATAGAACTCAAAGTCATCCGTGTGCTTGTTGAAGGTGATTACCTTCTTCTGCGGATAGGGATTCATCAGGGCGAAGAGCACACGCTTCACTTGCTTCACGGCTGCACCATCGCCCGGATCACGTTCAAAGGACACTTGCAGGGGGAAGATGACTGCATCTTTAACTATGAACTTCTTCACCTTAAAGCCAGAGGACAGATCGGCTGCCTTGTAGACGGCGCCCATGGTGGCCGATTCATCAGCATTCAGATTCTTGCCCAGCTCCTGTTTGATCAGCTGCTTGATTGTCTCCTGAACACGTGGCACACGCGTGCCTCCACCAAAGAGTATCACCTGAGTGATCACATCCAGCGACAGGTTCGACGTGGCGAGAGCATCCTCCAATGGTTTAGTGGTGCGTGGCCACAGATCAGCGCATAGCTCCTCTAGCTTCTCGCGCGACACCACCAGCTTAAAGTCCTGATCCTCCAGCAGATTCTCAATCTGCGCATAATGTTCTGTGTTGGCTGACAACACGTTCTTCACACGACCCGCCTCCTTGAACAGTTTGGCCAGCGCCCGTGGACTCTGCGTGACATCCGTCTTGGTCTTCTTCAGGGCATTGAACTCCTGGGCCAAATAGTCGCGCAAGCGCAGCTGTATCTCCAGGCCGCCCAGCGATCGATCATAGCCAACGCCCAGCACCTGGACCACCGGATTGACCTCCTTGGTCTGCTTATCCTTGACCAACTGATAGCTGACCACCGCAGCGGATGTCTTGTAGGCGCCCATATCATAAAACAGGAAATACTGTGCCGTCTCATTGATCTCTCCGCGATGGAACACGCCATAGTTAAGCGCTACGGCCGCATAATCGTTGATCAGCTGCAGCACCTTCAAATTGGCCAATTGTGCAGCGACCAGCAAAGCCTCTCGTTCGGCCTGACCAAAGTATCCGGGCACCGTTAGCACACATTCGGTGATCGATTGCTGTGTCGATTCTTGTGCGTATTCCTTGGCCTTGACCAGCAGTTGGGCAACCAGCTCCTCCACGCTGAACTCCTCGGTGTCGCTCTTCTTGAACACCACCGTATTGCGCTCCTTGTCGCCCACGATGGTATAGTACGGAAAGCGTTTTCTGTAAATGAGCAAAGTTATTAGAAACGGACTGGAAAGGCGAGCAACCTACAACTAAATCTCAATCTAAGATAGTGTCTTTATATAGCCTTAACAGTGTATAAGAATGATAAATTTAAAAAACAAAAAACAAAAAAACAATGCTTAGTTGAAGTAGTGCGTGATTTTAAGTTCGTTTTAATTTTATGTTAACTTTAACATCTAATGAATAAATAAATAAACAAAGAGTTTTATTTATTTTGTTTTTATTTTTTATTAGCAAGTAAAAAGATGTTTTAATACTATATATGTATATTAATTCGTACAGCTGTTTTACGCCACTATTTATTGTACGCAGCTGGCGTACGTAAATAACTTTCCAGAAATTACCATGCAAATTTCAAATTTCTTATTTATAACGATTTTCCGCCAATTACTTATCGCTACATGTCTATGTTAGTTTTGAGCATTTATTTTTTTTTTTTTTTTAATTTGCGCGATAGCAGCTGTTAGCTTAAAACGTTTACAGTTTGCTAACATGACGTGGCCCACACATGCTCGGACACAACGCGGCATCGAGAGAATGTGTGTGTGCAAGAGAGACAGGGAGAGAGCGAGAAATGTAAATATACAACTCACCTGTACAGATCAACAATGGGATTATCAATGGTTTTGCCCAGCAAATCCAATAGATAGCCATAGGCGGCCGATGGATCGCGTATTCCAATTGTTTGGGCATCCTCGCCAATGGTGCGCGTATTATCGCGGAAAGCGATGATGGCCGGTGTTTTGCGCTTGGACTCGCGATTCAATGCGATCTCCATTGGCACGCCCGGCGACACGACGCCCACTTTCATCCACTCACTGCCGAGATCAACAGACATCACGGCGGCCCCATTGCTGCCGGTCAGTTGAGATGCCATGATGCACAGACAGGCGAACAGCATTGAGAGCGAAAGGCAGCCGCCGGCTGTTGACGAGCTCAATCTTTGATTGGCCATTATAGTGCAGACTCACTGTATACAAAAAAGAGAACAGATACATATATAAAATATATATGAGTGTCAGTTGGGCACGGGAGCAATAACCTCTTCCGTCTTATTTGAAGCACAATTCAATTTTCGTTTCCCTTTTTTTCCCCTTTTTTGCCAACGCAAGCAGCAGCGGCAGCAGCTGTTAGGCCCACCCCTTGCACTTACGTTTTGATTTTCTATTTGATTATTCTTTGATTGCGGCAAATGCCTGCAGCGAAAATGATTGTGTATAAGTGATCCGTGGTTAACGTTTTATTTCAACAAATGCTTGCCAATTAATAAAAATGTCGCTAGCCGCCGACTTTCAGGTGTTAAGGGGCTAACTTTGAAGAAGAAGAAATCGTTGACGTGTTGATTTGGAAGTGAACGTCAGACTTCGATAATTCAATGCATATTGCCGATACACGTATATGCACAGCTGACTTGCAGTGTAATGTGAAAACCGACAGATGGCGCTAACTAACATTAAGCACAAATGTTAAATAACATTGAAAAAGCTTTATTTGATTTAATTATGTTTTTAAATTTCCCGCTTTAAGTGAATGCACAATTACATATATATAAGTATATTTAAAGGCACTTCTTTCTTTTTATCTATAGTTAGCATATTTATTTAACATGCTACATGCCAGACATATCGGTTAAATCAGCAAATTTTGCAATCATTACAATTATGCGACCCACATAACTCACCTTTAGTTGCTGAGAAATGCTAAAATATATTGTTACCATATACTCTACAAAAGACACAAGATACAAGTTGATCAATTATAACATGATGTATACATATATTGTATATCTATCGATGTCATGGTTTTCTAGCATATGGTAATGCAATACCTTTTCCCTTTAATCAATTCCAGTTAAGTGTATCTGAGCGTCTGATACACAACCAAAAAATAGAACACAGCTAATATACAGCAACGCCAACTCAATTAAAATATATATGTATGTATGTATGCATGTGGATATATACATTTGCATAAGTAAGTTAGGTAGAAGTCATAAAATGACTTCTGTGCATTTGGCTCAACCGAAATTGATCAAAATAACAGCAATTTCCCTTGCGTAATGTCTTTTGGGTTTTTTGCTGATTTGGATGTTCCGAGCTCATAAAAGAATATGCCAACCGAATTTTGTCAATCATAAGTATTCAGCGACGAACATGCACGGAACGCATCTATTAACGTTTTTGGCCATCTTCTGCCTCGTGGCAGTGACTACATCAGACCACCTGGCGGCTAGCAATGAGCAAGTGGAGGACCTCAACATCCCGGAGGATAGCATAGACGAACGCTTCTCGCGCTCATCCCAGGGCATTCCCCAGCAGGCATACGGGCCACCAGTTCTGTACAGCTCGGGATCAAACTATCAATCTAATTCAGCGCCAGCTGCTCAAAGCTATTCAGTACCTGCTGCTCCAACTTACGCTGCTCCAGCTGCTGCAAGCTATTCAGCGCCCAAGGGTCCTGTTTATTCTGCGCCTGCTGCTCCAAATTATTCAGCACCAGCCCCTCAAGGTTATTCAGCACCCGCCGCTCCAAGCTATTCAGCACCAGCCGCTGCAGGCAATTCAGCACCTGCTGCTCAAAGCTACTCGGCACCATCTGCTTCAAGCTATTCAGCACCGGCCGCCCCAAGCTATTCAGCACCAGCTGCACCAAGTTATTCAGCACCAGCTGCTCCAAGTTACTCGGCACCCAAGGCTTCAAGCTATTCAGCACCCGCCGCTCCAAGTTACTCGGCACCCAAGGCTCCAAGTTATGCAGCACAAGGTGTTTCAAGTTATACAGCACCCGCAGCTCCAAGCTATTCAGCAGCCAAGGCTCCAAACTATTCAGCACCAGCCGCTCCAAGTTATTCAGCCCCGGCCGCCCCAAGCTATTCAGCACCAGCCGCTCCAAGCTATTCAGCTCCAGCCGCTGCAGGCAATTCAGCACCTGCTGCTCAAAGCTACTCGGCACCATCTGCTTCAAGCTATTCAGCACCGGCCGCCCCAAGCTATTCAGCACCAGCTGCACCAAGTTATTCAGCACCAGCCGCTCCAAGTTATTCAGCCCCGGCCGCCCCAAGCTATTCAGCACCAGCCGCTCCAAGCTATTCAGCTCCAGCCGCTGCAGGCAATTCAGCACCTGCTGCTCAAAGCTACTCGGCACCATCTGCTTCAAGCTATTCAGCACCGGCCGCCCCAAGCTATTCAGCACCAGCTGCACCAAGCTATTCAGCACCAGCTGCTCCAAGTTACTCGGCACCCAAGGCTTCAAGCTATTCAGCACCCGCCGCTCCAAGTTACTCGGCACCCAAGGCTCCAAGCTATGCAGCACAAGGTGTTTCAAGTTATACAGCACCCGCTGCTCCAAGCTATTCATCAGCCAAGGCTCCAAGCTATTCAGCACCAGCCACACCAAGTTATTCAGCACCGGCCGCGCCAAGCTATTCAGCACCAGCCGCCCCAAGCTATTCAGCACCGGCCGCTCCAAGCTATTCAGCACCCGCTGCTCCAAGCTATTCAGCACCAGCCGCTCCAAGTTATTCAGCACCGGCCGCGCCAAGCTATTCAGCACCAGCCGCCCCAAGCTATTCAGCACCGGCCGCTCCAAGCTATTCAGCACCCGCTGCTCCAAGCTATTCAGCACCAGCCGCTCCAAGCTATTCAGCACCCGCCGCTCCAAGCTATTCAGCACCAGCCACTCAAAGCTATTCCGCACCAAAGCCCCCTAGCTATTCAGCTCCTAGTTATTCTGCACCAAAGGCTCCTGTTTATTCTGCTCCCAGCTATTCAGCACCAGCCGCTCAAAGGTATTCCGCGTCTAAGTCTCCAAGCTATTCTGCTCCAGCTGCTCCTACTTATTCTGCACCAAAGGCTCCTGCTTATTCAGCTCCAAGCTATTCAGCACCAGCCACTCAAACTTATTCTGCGCCCAAGGCTTCAAGTTATTCAGCACCTGCCGCTCCAAGCTATTCAGCACCCAAGGCATCTGTATATTCAGCACCTGTTGCACCTAGCAACTCAGCACCCGCCGCACCAAGTTATTCAGCACCAAAGGCTACCGTATATTCAGCGCCCGGTGCACCAAGCTATTCAGGTCCTTCTGCCCATTCTAGGCCTGCATCTCCGAACTACTCAGCACCGGCCGCAGTCGGATATGTAGCGCCGAAAGCTCCTCCACCTGCCGCATATACAGCATCAACGGCTTCTGGCTACTCTGCACGCATGTACAATTCCCCCGTATTGGCATCCGTGCAAAATGCAGGATATGGACAAGCATCAGGTGGCCATAGCGGATCTTCAATTCCAGCACCACCTTGTCCAGCCAACTATGTATTAAGCTGCAAAAGCGTCTTTACTCCTGCCCCGTGCAGTCAAGGCGCAGCATATTAGGCATTGACGTTGACCGTTTGATAAATAAAAATTATGACAGAAACATATTTACGTTAATACTCATTCTGCTTTGGATAAATAATGCACTTTTACTCAAATACATAAAATGTATTTATTTTTGTATTTAAATTTAACAGCATATTCGCAACAGTTTTTGTGCAATCCTTGCATGCACTCGCGCAGCACCACTCTCTCTCTCTCTCTCACTTGTTCACTCACTTTGCGGTTAAAGCTACATATGTATGTATATGCAACACACTGTCTACCTTCAGCCACACTGTTATGTGCACACAGTTAAAATGCAGAGATTTCCTCTCGCTGCCATTGTGTTGGTTGCAGGCCTGCCAACTTAGCCTTTTACCGGCCAGATCTGGCCTTTTTTAACTGCCAATTGCAGGAAAAATTGTAATCTAGCTACTGGCGGGAAATTTTGCATTTTTTAAAATCAAACCAGCATTATTTTAAGTGCCTCCAAGGTACTTGAATATTATTGGCACAAACAATTCGTACACTGCCGAGGAGAAAATTGATTTTATTGAGCTCGATAATCGTGTGTCAATTTTTGAATAAAAATATAATTCATGATAAGTAAGAAAGTTCTAGTCGAGGCTGCTCGAGTTCATATATGCATATGCATAAATCGACTTAGCTTGTCGCCCTGATCAAGAATATATATACTTTTATACCCGAATTTCCCATTTTCAAAGGGTATAAAAACTGAAATTGCTATATTTCTGGCTATTCTTGAATTTGATCTAGCCTTTTCTAGCAGGTTTGAAAGGTTAATTAGCATTTTCTTGCCCGGAAAAGTTGGCAGCACTGGTTGGTAGCCGCTGTCCGTAGGTATGCCACATCGAAGAGTTAACGAAACGCTCTCGCGAGCGCTCGCTCTTTTTCTCATTTTCTACTGTTGCTCCGCTCGTGCCATGCGTTTAGTGTCGTCTCTTTGTTATACACTTCACGAACGAACGCGGCAGACGACGATAGGCAGCTCTCTCTCAACAACTTGACGAGATTGCTACATCCATAAACAACCCTGTTGATTTTGTGAGTTACTCATTCAGTTAATATTCTCAATTTGAGTTGTGTGGTTAGTGTTGGTGTTGCTGTGGCTGCTGTTGCTATAGCTGTTGCTCCTGGCTGTTGCTTCCGTCGGCAATTTTAGCGCCAACAATAAGAAAAAAATTATTATTATTATTATTATTTTCAATTTGATTACTGTCACAATGAACAACACACAATCGCATTCAAAGCCGCAGATTGTGTGGGATGAAGAGCATACCGTGAAGCTGATCAAGGCATACAAGGCGCAGAATGTTCTGTGGAATCCAGAAAATCGCGGTTTCCTGCATCGCAATGCAAGATACGATGCCTGGAAAGAGATGGCGAATGTTATGCAGTTGACCATACGCGACGTTAAAAGAAAAATGAATTCGCTAATTGGCGTCTACAGATCACAGTACCGCAAGGGTGTTACTAATCCTCGCTGGTGGGCCAGTCACATGTCCTTTATGCAGCCGAAGGTAAGCGGTAAACATACACACTTACACAAACTGATCTAATTTTGTCTTTAAAGTCGCATAGAAAAGGAACCATAACAAAAACTAAAGAATGTCCACACAAATGATTTGTTTTGGTACATTTTTAGCGAGCATACGCATATATGTATATACCTATGTACATACATGCATATACATATATGGCTCATGCGAACGTAAGACAAAACAAAAGAGCGCTAGTGCGAGAGGCTAGCTCGCTGGGAGCGTAAGCACGATGAACGAAAGAGCGCGAATAAAAACTTGTAACGATCGAACTTAAAGTACGGGCATGTATGAGAGAGCGTCTACAAAGCTAATTTCATTGCCTATGTATGCATGTAATTGGTATAGTATGTATGTATGTATGTAAATTTGCTGCAAAATGCTCATTATCATTAATTAGTCAATGCTTATGTTCACTCGTGTCAGA